CCCTACACAAGAGGACACACTTTCAATGTGGTCAGAACATGAACTGTTTATAGTTCTAAAACATACATATTAATAACTTGTCTTTCACACTTACTGGGAAATTTGTAAGTTAACATACATGAATATTGTTTTTTATTCTCCATACATTTTTTGAAGTTATAAAACATAAACAAAAAAGTTACCCAAACCAGCTGCATGGATTTTTACTTCTACTCAACATATGGGAAAACGAACCATAGCCTACTATAGACTGGCATAGGCTGGATTATACTGGAATATATTGTCCTAAAAGAAAACCAAAACCTAAGGAAATGTCTTAAACATTTTATGGTAATGCTTTTGGGCTTCAGCTCATAGTTTATCTATTCACATCTGATATCTGTGTAGACCTTAATACACAAATTTGTTACATAAGTGAAAAATCCTCTAATATAATAACTTTTATACAATTACAGTAGCTTAGTTCTGGCATTTTTATTACAAAGGACTTGAGACCCTAAATCTTCAACAATCACATTTAATTGGCTGTTTCATCATACCATTTTCTAACCTTGTCTCAAAGCCTCTGCTAGAACTAGGTTGTTATCACTTATGACACAGCAATAAGACAATCTGCTCATAGAGCTAATGTTTTTCTTGCAGGTAGTTTGCAAAGTAATTCTTTCTTCTGGTTCAGTGAGTTGGTTAGGATATAATGTTCTCAGTTTCATGGCCACCCTAGAATCTTAAGCCACAGCAGCCACTCACAAATGCTCTCAGCTACAAGTTGAGGGAGCAGGGGGCTGGCTGCAAAAATGCCACCATCCCCGCTCAGAAATCCACTCCCAATGCACACATGTTCTGTAGTTTGCCCACCTGTATTTATGTAGGGAAGAGAGCATTTTTAAGTTACTATATTTTTCATTTACTAATCATTTTCATATATTTTATTTTTCTTTCCTGCTTGACGATCGAAGTTCTCAACGTTCAAGCTTATACAAGCTTATGTCTTGGCATGTACGATAGCGTCTGTACATTATCATTGCAACAAATTCTGTATAGGAAACGATTGCCAGGTTTGTGACTTTAGGGTAACCCATAGTGACAGTGGCTTGTGAATTAAAGTGAATTCTCTTCACAGAGAATTACTCACAAGAAATACTTTCTTTATCACTGGCTTTATTAGCAATGATTCGTGAAAACAAAACCTCCTATGCGCTCGTAGAGGGACGGGAGAGTTGAGCTGAACTGTGAACTATACACGGTTTTGCCAAAAAGCTGTAATTCATTTTGAGCTTTTCTGTCCACCTCTATTTAAAAATACCTAAAATTAACTTAGTTACATTCCAAAACCACCTACAAAAACTAAACCACCACAAAGATGAAGGAAATTTAAGAGGGAAGGCTGGTCCCATCCTCTGCCTCCCCCACCACTTTGGTTGTAGACTAATTCTTTTGTTTAGAAACTCAATACAGAAAGACTAGGTCTCCCCTCTGTTTCTGCACTGTCCTCCTGTTCGAGAGTATTATCTCTGTGAACCCATCAGTATTAGTCTACTAAAAATATAGAATCCCTGTGCACTTCCTGAGAATGGAATTTTTTAAACTTACACCCTATTATTCACCCAAAGTGTTTATCATCAAGACAAGAAAGTACATTGATGCTTATCTGCTCATACCATTTCATCTCAACTGCTTTTCCACAAAGAGGAAAAAATACCCTCAGTTCTTTCTCGCCTTTAAGAAAAGTATCCAAATGCTTCTTTAATAGCCTGGGGAGAAAAAAAAAAAAAATTGTTTGTTTTAATTAGCCCAAGACACAGAGGAAAGGACTACAATTTTACAATGCTAAGTACATTTCATGTATTACCTCACTTAATATTTCCCAACAACTTTATGAAGTAGGTAACATTATCCATTAAAATCTCCAGTTTATACATGAAGAAACAGGAAGGTTAAGCAACTTGCTCAGTCAGGTAACTGGTGAGCAGTTAATGTGACTCAAACCTGGGGCTTTCCTGATTAGTAATTAAACATAAAAAATTATTTTTTCCTTGTTTGATATGTTTTGAAAATGTATATGTGTGTGTGTGTGTATCTTCTAAGGCCAGCTACATGACAGAGATAACTCATACAATGGTTCTAGGATGATACCCCAACTATTACTTAGTCTGCAAATGTAATAATAATAATGATGTCCCCTGGGCAGTCAGGGTGGCTGCCTGGAAGAAGGAACATCTGTCACGACCACTTTACTCAGCACTGACCCATCTTTATTGCTGCTGCTTCAAAGCCCACTACTACTACTACTATTACATTGCTTAGCATTCAGCTCACTGATTAATTTCTCTCAACTTCTCTTCTTCCACCATATAGATAATACTTTAACATTTGAACACATGCTATTGGAAAGCAAAGTCAGAACACCACCACTTTTCAGCATAAAGAGATGCCAGCATTAATATAACCTGAGCATCTGCGTATGTATAAACACGTATGCCCAACAAATAAATGTTATAGGGGATTAAAAAAAAGACATATTTCATAAATCTAAGATGTCATCAACTGTAAGTCACACCGTTACTTATACTCCATGAGAAGAAATATCACTGCCAATTCAACTATGACATGCCACAGATGCATCCTGATTTCAGAGATGCTCCAATGTGAAAAACTAAAAATGTGCATCTTAAAATCAAATAATGGATATCTATATTATGATTTCTATTTCCAAAGTCAGCTTCTGATAGAGCATTTCTGTTATAGACCAACATTTGATATAAAGAAACGTAAACATTTCTTACTGATGTCCTCGTTCTTGGTGAAATGCAATACTGTGATTCACCCACTTTTCTTGCCATTCTTCCAGAGTTAGCACTCGGTTTTTCTGTACCCCAGTGTTGGGGTACTCTTCAGCATCAAGTACTGCTCTTGTATTAGCCATGGTTTTGTAGATAGCTTTGACTCAGAAACAAATGTCTCCAATGCCTAAGTGGAAAATGTTTGCAAGGTTGTCACTTAAAGTGCATTTCAATTCTATTGATGAATGAAGAAAAAACCTATTATTCTCAGCAGTACGGCTTTTATTTTATTTTATTTTTTAATTAATTAATTTATTTATTTTTGGCTGTGTTGGTTCTTTGTTGCTGTTCGCGGGCTTTCTCTAGTTGCAGCGAGCGGGGGCTACTCTTCGTTGCGGTGCGTGGGCTTCTCACTGCAGTGGGTTCTCTTGTTGCGGAGCACGGGCTCTAGGCACGCGGGCTTCAGTATTTGCGGCTCGTGGGCTCTAGAGCGCAGGCTCAGTAGTTGTGGCACACGGGCTTAGTTGCTCCGCGGCATGTGGGATCTTCCAGATCAGGGCTTGAACCCGTGTCCCCTGCATTGGCAGGCGGATTCTTAACCACTGAGCCACCAGGGAAGTCCCAGCAGTATGGCTTTTAAAAAATATTTCAATATTCACAGAAAAGCTATACAAAAAATTACTTTTCAGTGAATCTGATGGTAGAGGCATACCTCATAATACACATTAGGAAAGATCTTTAAATAAATTGAATTACATCTTAGAGTAAAAGAATTTAAGTTTAAAAAAAAGAGGGCAAAAAAAAAAAAAAACAGGCATTATAACTTCTGTAAGCTTAGAATCTTTCCTAGCATCTCACTCTTCAATTTTTAAAATTTCCTTTAATGTTTACTTCTTTTTTTTAATCAATGTTATAATGCACACAACTCAAAGAGTTCAACAGTTATGAAAGCAGCAGTCCCCATTTCCAATGAGAAACAAACATCTTTAACTCTTTTAGCTGAATATTGAAATATAACTCAAAATATAACTCAAATAGCATGCTTATTTTGTATCTTCTTAATTTTTTATTTCTAGGAACATCTAGAAATGATAAGCATTTAGTCCTCTTTCAACTTCCCAACACGCACACACCACCTTCTCATTTTTCCTATCCTTTCCATATAGATATAGCATATTCGTGATTAAACATTTCAAGTTCACATTATTATGACTAGGTAAATACTATTCACAGGTAAGCCATATAGAATTCTATGATTACTTTTCCTTTTCTGTACAACTTTTTGTCCTATAGTTAATATCTGACATTTTCATTTATAAAATTTCCATATATTTATTACTAATTCAACTCTAAGTTCTCCCAATCTCCTGTCAATACACTCTCAATCTCTTCGGTTATCAGATATCCTATCAATGTCATCTCAGAGAATAGCCTTCTGACCTGGATGCTGTCTTCTCCTGGTACACAACTAGCCTTCTGCGATCTTTATCTATAACCATCCTGGAGCCTTCCCTCTTATCTTTTGATGAATCTCCTGTTTCCTTTATTGGCTATTTTCCTTTTTTTTGGTTACCACCCTTATATTGGTAAAATACAACCTTCGGCAGCTTTCTGAGAAAGAGTGCATGGGAGAAAAGGTTTTGGCAATTTTGCATGTAGAAAACGTCTTCACACTATTTATTCCCCATCCTCGATGTACAGTTTTGCTGGGTACAAATTCTTAGTTAGAAAACAGTTTCTCTCACAATTCTGAAGAAACTATTCCCTTGTCATCTAGCCTGTAGAGTTACTGCTTAAATTCAAAGACATATGGATCTTGATATTTTCCATGTGGCCAATATTTTTCTCTCTCTCAAAGCTTTTCTTTGCCCCTTAGTTTTTGCAATTTCGTAATTCTATGCCTTATCCTGGGTCTGCTTTCATCTATCTGGCTGACTTCTTTTAATCTGGAAGCTCATATCCTTCAATTATGGAAAAATTCTTGAATTATTCAGATGATGATTTGGGTCCTTTTTTTCTATTTCTCTTTCTCGGACCCCTTTTTATGGTTGTAGAACCTCTTGACCCAATGCTCTAAATTTCTCATATTTTTTTCTATTTTCCAACTCTTCATCGTTTTGTCCTATTTTCTGACAGCCCACCTTATTTTTATCTTTCTACCTTGCTATTTAGTTTTTCTTTTCTGCTCTCAAGTCTTTAATTCTCAAGAGCTCCTTTTTGTTTCTGATGTTCTCTTTTCATTTTATTTTGTTGTTACTTCATGTATAGAATGTATATAATATTTTCTCTTATTTACCTGCATGGTCTGTTACTGAGTCATTTTTTCTGTTGGTTTTGTCTTCTATCTTTCAAACTAGTGACTGTCCTCAAATTCCTAGCAATCCTTATTATCTACTCACATTTAAGGGTAAATACCAAAAAGCTGATTATAAGTTTAAGTTTGTAGATGGGGCTTATTGACTGTAAGCTTCTCTGTAGGATAATATGAATAGATATTATTTGGAAACTTAGATGTCATTATCTTTATTCTCTTTGGACTCATCAGACTTTCCATAGATGGACTTCGCAATTCCCGTTGAAAGTTTGAGTCCTTGGGACTATGGTTCTATACGCACATGAGAAAAGGATAAAAGTGGGAAAGGTCCCCAGCATTCAGTTTGCCTGTGTTCAATTAATCCCCATATTTTCAGTATGGTACTCCCATCCCCAACTGTGAACTGTATCTTCCCAGTCCAAAGACTGGGAATAAACCCCCCAAAGTCTGCTGGTGTGGTGAAGAAGAGATACTTGGTTGCAGGGAATTGGGAAAGGGATCTGGGGACTTAGTCTTTTAGGAACCAGAATTTCAAGCAATCCTCCTAATTTCAACCATACCCTTCCATCTCCCTGAGGTACGTGGTGCCGCTAATTCCTGAGCATTGGGGGATTCTATAATGCAAATAGGATTGCTCATTGGCTTTCCCCATTGCTGGTTTAGAATTTAGCTTTGTTCAGTCTGCAAAATCCTTTATCTCTCGTCCATCTGCTTTCTAGGTTTCAAATTTTTATTGCTTTTATCTTCTCTTCTGTCTTCCCTTTATGTCTTTAAAAATCCTACTGTTGTTTTGGTGGAGTTTCAGGAGGAAGCAAAAGTAGACGCAGATTCAATATCCCATCTCTACCCCACAAGTTTGCATTTTCAAATAATTTTCTTATAGCTTTTTTTTTTGGTGTGGGAAAATGCACACAAAGGCGTTGACCTAAAGAAAAACACACAACATAGGAGTTGTGAGTTTCAATTTTATTCGGGGACCTTACTGAGGATGATAGCCTGGGAGAGAACCTTTCAGATACCTCTGAGGAACTGCTCCAAATATATATGTTCCACATGTATACGATTTTTTTTTTTTTTTTGACTAGGAAAAACATGTAGTCTAGCATACATTTTGGTAAAAGATTACTTTTAATCACAAAGAACAGATACCTCAAGTTAATGATTTTAGTGATTTCTATGTACAAGAAGATGCAAGAATCTGGGGCCATTGAAATTCTCCCTGAGGCATGCTATGTAGGGGCCATTTATACAAAACACAGAATGCCTCACACTTATTTCCCCTCCTGAAGTCCTAAATCCCCTGAGGTACATCACCCTCTGCAGGGGGTTGTGTTTTAACCCTTAGTATAATTGGTTGATGAACAACATTCTTTGTTCCTTATTTTTCCCCCTTTTACAAAGGGAACTGAGAAAAAAGGACATGTGAACATAACTGCAAATCTACCTGAAGGTATGAGGAAAATGTCTGTTCTTTCAATGTGAAATTTGTCATGTGAGGATGATACAACACAATAGTTGTAACATACCCTTTGAGTCATTAGTGAAACTAATTTAGTTTGGATTACACTAGCAGGCTATTCTTGGTGGAGTTAATTTAATGATTCATCCATGAATCATTATCCATGGAAAAGCAGTTATTCAAGGAAAAGTTCCCTTTATGGCAAAATTTGGCTTCAGTGTGCTTAGGATTTAAGAAGGCACCTCTCTTGGAATTGGGAACACAAATTCACTTCCCAGCAAACTTTTGTTAGCAAATGGCTTTTGCAAGGCCCTGATGATGTCAAGAGGTGATGCTCAGGGTTTTCTGAGAGGTCAGAGGGAAGCATCTGATGTATTGGATACAGAAAAGCAAAAGAGAGTTGCAGTTTTCCCATTTCCACATTCAGCCAGAAACTTTGGAACCTGAACTTGAGCCTTCATAAACAGTTCTCTACTTAAAACAAAAGGGAAGCATAATTTTATCACTGAGCCAGGGCAGCCTGGAATTGTTCAACTCTTCCCCTCTTACACAAACTTGAAATATAACTTAACATCATGAATATAACTTAATCACTTCTTAGGTGTTCTCATAGCTTCTCAACCTGTACTTAACTTGTCCACATCCTTTTCTGGGGAAATAAAAAGTTTCTTTCTACAAGCAAGATAAAAGTGCAAAATTATAAGAATCAGGAAAGGCAAATTTCACAATCATTCTTACCCATACACAGAAATAGCAGATGTGCTAGTTTGGTCGCCCAAGTTCTCCTTGGGTGTACTCCCAAGACTGGTTTCCTCCGCACCTTTTCAAAAAGCATGTTTCTGCTTTAGATTTATTTTAAAATTTTGGTAAATTGAAGAATAACTTCCCTAAAGTGCACAAACTTTAAGAGTATGGCTCAGTGAATTTTTATACATGCATACAACCTATGCAATTACCATGGAGCAAGACAATATTTACAGCACCCCAGTTCCCCTCACTGTCCCGGCAAGTACTTCTCTTTTCTTAAAATCAACAATACCCGACAATGCTTTGGGGTCACTTTAACCATGGACTCAGAAAGGTCATTCACTACCTGATCTCCTTATTCCCCGTTCCCACTCGGCTCCCTGAGCCCATTTCAGGGCGCGGATGGCTAGGACGCCCCGTTCCGGAATCCGATCACACACTCACACCTAGCAAACGTCCCATTGGTCATCGCACTCTCTCTGCACCCGGCGGAGCCTACCTTGTGTGCTGTCCGTCGCCTGCTGCTGGTTCTGCTGCTGCCGCGGGCCTCACCGGCTGAGTTCCTAAGCCCCAGGCTCAGCCCTGCTATTGGACCCGCCCCCGGACACGCCCCTCCCGTGGCGCACAGACCCCGCCCCCATCCCCACGCTCCCCGGCTTGCTCAGCGGCGGAAATGGCCAGGGCGGGGCGAGTAGCGCGGCGAAGGCGAAGGCGGGGACCCTACTCCTCCCTCTTCCCGCCGGCTCCTCCCACTCCGGGTCACGTCGTGACAGGGGCGGAAGCAGCGGCGGCGGCGGCCGAGCGGGGGCTGCGGCTCGCGGCGCGGGTCCTGCAGTCTTGTGCGCTCGGCGCGCGGCTCCGGAGAGGCGCCTGCAGCTCCCGGCGGCGCGCGAGGTCTCGCCTGCGCTCTGAGGTGGGGGGCACGCGGCTCCGGGGGCGGGCGTGAGGGTGGCGGCGGATTTCGGGTGACAGCTCTGCACAAAGCAGCTTGGCCGGGGTGCACGCTCTCCTGCCCCTGTGCAGCGCTCCTTGCCCGGGTGGGAGGCGGACCGGTGCCCTCGGGGCTATACCTTCTTCCCCGAATTGGTAGGGGGTGTGAGGTGGGGATCCCAGCCTGAGAAAGGGGGAATTCCCGGGCTGGGGTGTTGCAGCGACCGGGTTCCCCGGTTCATCGCGGTGCTGCGGGTTTCTCCTAACCCCCCCTCCCCGCAATATTTCCTTTCTGTGCAGCGGTGCCTTCTCGCCGCGACTCCTTGCACGCCTCCAGCGCAAAGGTGAGCCCGGAGAGGCTGTTGCTTCTTCGACTTCGGAGAAGAGACGAGAAAGCTTTTCAGAAAGCGTGGCGGCTGCATCTGGCACAGGGAACGTTGGGGCTCCCTCCTGGGGGCTGTCAGTGCCCTGTCACCTGGGGAGTACCTGCTGCGGGGAGTAGGCGGGGGACCTACAGTCCGGGAGTAGGAACTCCCTGGCTGTTTTTCCCAGCCGAGAGCGTGGCGCCGAGGAGCCGGCACGGCCTCGCAGGTGTTATTAGTTCGACTGCGGCGCCGCGACCACGCGTTGAGATGCGATCGGCATTGCCAGGTTGCTGGGGTAACTCCGCCGGGACCTGGGACCCCTAGGGGGCGGCCCGATTACGGTAGCTGTTAGTCAACAGCCTAGCAACCAGCAGGTGAAAGAGGAAGGAATGGGCAGGCCCAGCTGTAATGAGTTGGGGTTCCGTGATCTGGAACCTAGCCAGCTGGAGGCCCAGCCCTCCCTCGGGAGAGCGTACGGGCGTCCATAGACCACTCCCTTTGGGGAGATCCGTCACTCCACCTGTGTACACACAACTCGAGACTTTTACACTTTGGTTGGTTTTTTGGTGTGTGTTTTTTTTTTTTTTAACCTATTTTAGTAAAAGGAAGGCGAGTGGGAGGGACGGTTTCGTCAGGAGGTACAGGAGAAAATGACCATTAATAATTATCTTCCACGCAGAGAAAGTAGTCAACAAAGCATTCGGGCAATTGAACTGGATCCATATTTCGGAAAATTTGATTATTGTGGGTAGAATTTCAGGTGGCCCAAAGGGAAACTTTTGCTCCTTTTGTCTCTGTAGGAGTTTCTAGTATTTTGTCCAGTTTTGAGAAATTATGCTAACACCACTATAAACTTTTATTCCAACCTGGAGTTCTTTAGATTCATATTTTTATGAATTCTGTCTTTTAAAAAAGTTTTTTGAATAAGCTACTTGTGAAAAAATCCTGGGAATTATTAAAGTAGAAATCTAGACATTGATATATTCACCTATATATTTATGCCCCCCCAACCATTTTCTTCTTTCTTTTGTCACATTGAAAGAAAACCAAAGCTATGAATTTAAAATTAGGAAGAAATATGCCTATAAAGTCATATTGAACCTGAAACAAATTGATCATACTTAACGTTAGGTGAGTTTATTAATTTGAAGAACCAGGTGGGAAAGCACTTCCAGTAAACTAATTTGTTTTAATGACACTTGATCATATTTCTAAGATTATATTTAAAAGCACAATTAACTGTAGTCCTTCCAACTTAAATATTTTTCCTCTATTTTAAGCCCCAAGAACCCAGCAACAGTGAAAATAGAGATTACAGTAAGTGTCCAAAAAAGGATGAAGGTACATAACTGTTAATTGTATAATTAACTGAGACAAAATTACTGCCCCAAAAATCTTCAATCATATTTTTCCCAGACAACACAGATTTCTTAATGGCTTTTATAGCTAATGTTTTCATTTCCTGTTAACCATTTCTTGAATTACATATTTCTTCATTGCAATCAAATACATGTTTTTCAGTATACAGTTGGGTTAAAATGTTTGATGAAATTTCCAGAATCTATGCTTTCTTTTGGGAGAGCTTTCTTTTGAGAGTGCTTGCTTGCCCAGGTAACACTTTCAAATGTTGCATGAACCTGATTTTATTTATGTCCCTAAACCCCACATTAGACTCAAATATTTTTGCTGCAATACTTAACGTATACTGTATACGTGTTTACACATGCTTTATTCATGGTCCATTTTATTAATAATGTGGGATATATGTTTTACATAAAAAGATTGGTTAGACTGGACAAAATTTTGAAAATGTGATCCAGAAAGCCTTCTCTGGGTATAAGAATTATAGGTAGACAGTAGTACTTTTAAAATCATTAATTCTTTATCCAACTGTATAATGAGTGCTGTGGCACTAATGGCAATTTTTTTTAATGGTTAAAGACCTGTAATGCATTTCAATATATGCATAAGGTATATTTGTTCACAACTAACATAATGGTTTTGAGAAAGTGAAGACTGAGTCAAAGAAAAACCATCCGTAACATCGGTGTCAAGATTCCTCAAAGTTGTTATAGATGGCAGACTGAAAGTCTTCACACGTGATGTTAATAATCCGTGAAAAATGCGCTTATGAATGTTAGTGCAAACAATAGGGTTACAGTTTATAGTGAAACAATAGGACTACAGGCCCTTTAAAGCTTTTCCCCAAGATTAAGATCATATATGTGGGATTTATATCTTAAGATAAAAACACTTCCACTTTCCATTTTCTTATCCATAGGTATGTCCTGTTTATTTCTCATGCTATCATTTTGTGTAAGTGTATGTGTGTGTAGTAAATACGGATCAGGGAAGGAGATGTGTGATAATTGTAGGATCCGTACACTGTTGAGTACTTATGCTAAGCATTTTTCATTCCTTATCGAATTTAATTGAAAAAATACTAATATGATAACTTAATCATTCATGGTTTTATGCATTATTTTTCGTGTAGACTTTTGGTTCTTAATGTTTCTTTAACTGTGCTGTTATTAGACTAGTTTGAGAACTCATAAAATTTGTCCAGTGGAAGATATTAGTGACTATCTAACCCAGATTCCTATATTCAGTAGTGACTAGACAGTGTGCCTGAGATTTATTTGTTGGGTTTTATTGAGAAGGAATGAATGAGTGTTCTTTTTAAAGTATAATAAGAGAGCAAAATTCAGGAACTAAGAAGATGCAGTGAGATAGAGAGGAATATTACAAACAAAAATGAGATATTTTTACTCATTGAATTTTATAAACAGTAGTGTCAGTTGTTTATTGGTCATTTGTGTGGTTACATTTTTATATGTAAATGTACATACTACTAATGGATAACATTTACTGAGTACTTATACCAGGCCTGGTGCTTTAAATTAGTTATTTTACTTAATCTTCACACCAATGCTAGGGTACACTCTGGCTGTGCCCATTTTATATATGAGAACACTGAGGTGTAGTCTTAGTGAGCTTAAGTAACTTGAAAGCAATAGCTTCACACTCAGGCCATCTGACTGCGAACATACACTCTTACCAACTAAATTACATAATAACTTGACTCCAGAGTGTTGAAAGTATTAGCAGATGCTAATATGTGATGTTTGTTTAGTTTTTTTTTTTTCAGATTTTCTGATACAATGGCAACCCCACGGGGGAGGACAAAGAAAAAAGCACCTTTTGATCATTCTCCAGATAGCCTTCCTTTGAGGAGCTCCGGTAGGCAGGTATCACTCATTTGTTCATTCAATGCACCTGTTTTGAAAAACAGGCTTACTGTGATTGGGACTGAAGAATTAGAGTTCATATAATTCCAGCCCTCAAGGGGCTTGCAGTCTAGTGGAGAAATTCACCTTGGGACAATCAGTGTGATAAAGTGATAGAATGTAGGAAAAAAGTGTATCTGGCAGAGGGAACTGCGGAGATAAAAGGCGCAGAGTGTGAATCAGCATGGGGTGTTCAGAGAATCACAGCTGTAGGGTTGCCTCCAGGATATGAGCTGGGGCCAGATCATGCTTCGCTTGGTGTCATTCATAGGAATTTGGACCTCAGCTTGTAGTTGGTTGGGTGCTGTTAGCAGGTTACTTGCTGCCATCTCTCTTGTAGGACTTTTTTTTTTTTAAGAAAAATATTGAATGATGCAATTCTTTTTCTAGAATTTGTCTAGTTTTAAAAATCTATAATACTGAGAGGATATAACTGCTCTAAGTAAAGAAAAAAATCTTAATTTGAGAGTGGCTTTTATTTTTGATGGTACAGCTTTTTAAAAATTTTTTAATTTTTTTATTGAAGTATAGTTGAAACAGCTTTTTCCTAAGAGAAGCTCATACGCATTTTAGTTCTCTACTCAGAGAGCTGTTGTCAAAGTGCTAGTTCTAAATTTCTAGCAAATTAGCGAGTTATTTGCACAGTGCAGTCTCAGGGAAATGGCTGTATCATCAACCCCTCCCCCACTCCCAGGATGCTGTTGATCTTCACGTTTAGAACTTCTAGTGTGGAAGTGATTTCAGTAGTAAACCTCCCACCGCCTTTACCTTTGGCCCTGCCGGTGTACTCTTAACCTCAGCTGGTTATTTCTCAGGTGAAGAAAAAGGCCACAGAGACGACAGACGAGGATGAAGATGGTGGGTCAGAGAAGAAGTACAGGAAATGCGAAAAAGCCGGCTGTACAGCCGCGTGCCCCGTGTGCTTTGCCAGCGCTTCTGAAAGGTCTGTTTAGATGGCGGGTCTTGCCCTCACCTTCCTGCGGGTGAGAGCCTTCATCCTCAAAGATAGTCTTCCTGGGGCTTCCCTCATGGCGCAGTGGTTGGGAGTCCGCCTGCCGATGCAGGGGACGCGGGTTCGTGCCCCGGTCCGGGAGGATCCTACGTGCCGCGGAGCGGCTGGGCCCGTGAGCCGTGGCCGCTGGGCCTGCGGGTCCGGAGCCTGTGCTCCGCAACGGGAGAGGCCACAACAGTGAGAGGCCCGCCTACCGCAAAAAAAAAAAAAAAAAAAAAAAAGATAGTCTTCCTGAAGATACATAGAGATACTTGTTATCCAACAACAGAGACATTGCCTGTCCATTTTGTATACAGCACGCCCAGCTCTGCCAATCCGTGTCCTCCAGTCCCATCCACAATGGCTGTACCTCTGGTGGTAGGGGATGGCAGCGGGGACAGTTTGAGGATGGGGTGGGGGCAGAGGAGAGAGAACCTTGACCTCCCTGGAGAGACAAGTATATGCTTATTTCCCTGTGCTGCTTTTCTCCCTCATATAACATACCTTCTCCTCCAACAGATATATACAGGTCTCTTTAAAGCTGTGTAGCTAACTGTATGTACTCTTGCCATTCTTATTAGGATGACCCAAGCATAACCTTTTACTTCCAGAGAAAAGTCTTCAGTTAACATTCAGTAAAACCTGGAAAACATATCCTGGGTTTTTTGTTGTTGTTGTTGTTTTTTGGTTTTTTGTTTTGTTTTTTTAATCACAAAGAGGTGGTGGTGTTACTGTTCATAGTGGCATTATATTTCATTCTTTTACTACATGATTGGCTGTGTGGTAGGTTATATTTACTAGATTGCCTGCTGGATGGTCCCATTCCAGCTGGCCAGATTCGTTCACTGTTTAGTATTGGGCCAAATGTTATTACTAAAGACCGCACTTCGCTCCTTGACTCACATGCAGCAAGGCCACTGGCATCCCTTCTTTCATGTCTAAAACCCTATCATCACTCCATGGAGTCTTGATAAAACTGCTAAGTCCCAGGCCCTTCTGATGGGTACCACTGATCTAAGTCCCTGTGTCCTCACCGTGCATTGTTATGTATCAGTTGGCCTTTCCATTTCGCTTGTTGTAATCTGGTTGTTAGGATTCCCCTGTTATAATTCTGGTTGTTGTAATTGTGTTTGTTAGAGGTAAGGCAAAAGGGCTCCTAGGAGGTGCTTGATTAATTTTTTTTAAACGATTTGATAAATGTAAAAAAAAAAGCAAACCAAGAAGAAATGTTTATTCATTACCAAAGCTACCCGTTTTTGCTGTTTTCAGATGTGCCAAAAATGGCTACACATCCCGGTGGTATCACCTCTCCTGTGGGGAGCATTTCTGTAATGAATGCTTTGACCATTACTATAGAAGGTTTGTTCTGATAATTGTTTGAGGTTTCCGTGGTGGAAGGGATGGTGGCTTGGGTGGTGGAGGGGGTCAGATGGTTATGACTGAGCCCCCAGGCTTACTGAATTATTCCACTGTTTCCGCCACACCTGTGCTGACTACCGGCGGGCCAGGACTTTGATGCTGTAGTTTGCATGTGTGTACACTTATGATGTGTGTGTGCACACTCAGCGCTCAAAAAGCATCTGCTGTGAGACAGTTATTCTCCTTAGTTTGCAAATTCTGAAAAATCTAGGAGCTGCTTCTTCTGTGCCAATGCATGGGGGCAGAATGCAAAGATTAGGGGGAGGATGCTGACAACTAGAGGGTGCTGGGCAGACAGGTAACCATCCCTTCTTGATAGTTTTAAGTACTAAAATTGATAGGAATGCCACCTGTTTTATGGGTGCCACGATAACTACCCCCCTCCTTAAAATATGGCTGGTTAAGTCCTTTATGTAAGATTTCTGCCACCTGTTTTGAAAACCTGAATAACTTACAGCTTGATATATTTATTTTTATTCTTTTTCAGCCATAAGGATGGATATGACAAATATACTACATGGAAAAAAATATGGACTAGCAATGGAAAAACTGAACCTAGCCCCAAGGCTTTCATGGCAGACCAGCAGCTTCCCTACTGGGTAAAGAAGATAACGCTTTACTGGTCTGTAAAGGATTTGTAGAGCTAAATGCAAGAGGAATGGATGAAAATACCAATTTTTAGGAAAGTTTTCTTTAATTACTTTTATTCTTTCTGTAACTATTAAAGCAAATCACATTTTTGATTTTTGTAGAAAAATCACATAATTCAACCTATGGTGTAAAGAAGAAACTAAAGACTCATTACCAGCTGGTGATAGTCAGTGCTAAGTTTGGTGCATATCTCTCTCATCTTTTTTTCTATTCATGTTTTTCTGTGTATGTTTAAACACAATTTTATGCTTTATATACATATCCTAATTAGGTTTAAAATCATACTTTGCATGTAAGTTTTTGCTGAGTTTTTTTAATTAATTTAACTTTATATCATTTTTCCATCTAGCTGTTCTTTGAAAACATTTTAGCAATTTCGTATATAATATAAATATAACATCATTTAATAAATGATTTGCTAATTTATTTAATATTACAGGTAATTTGAGCTTCTCTCTGCATACTTAAAATTTTTTTAATTGAAGTGAAATTCACATAACTTTATTTTTAAAATTTATTTATTTTATTTATTTATTTTTGGCTGCATTGGGTCTTCATTGCTGCAAGTGGGCTTTCTCTAGTTGCGGGGGGGGGGGGGCTACTCTTCATTGCAGTGTGCATGCTTCTCGCTGCGGTGGCTTCTCTTGTTGTGGAGCACGGGCTCTAGAGCACAGGCTTAGTAGTTGTGGCACTTGGGCTCAGTAGTTGTGGCACACGGGCTTAGTTGCTCCGTGGCATGTGGGATCTTCCTGGACCAGGGCTTGAACCTGTGTGCTCTGCTTTGGCAGGCAGATTCTTAACCACTGAGCCACCAGGGAATCCCCACATAACTTTCAGTTCTCAAAAAATTCACATAAAATTAACCATTTTAAAGTGTACACCTCAGTGGCATTTAGTACATTCACAATGTTGTGCAACCACCACCTCTGTCTAATTCCAAAACATTTTCAGCATCCACAAAGGAAACCTGTGCCCATTCAGCAGTCACCTCCCATTCCTCCCTGCCTCCAGCCCCTGGCAACCACTAATCTGCTTTCTGTCTTTATGGATTTACCGTTTTGGATATTTTATATTAAGGAATCATGCAGTATGTGACCTTTCATATTTGACTTCTTTCACTTAACGTAGTGCACTTGAGAATCATCCTTGTTGTAGCATGTATTAGGACCTCATTCCTTTTCATGGGGAATAATATTCCACTCTATGGATTTGCCACATTTTACTTATCCTTATCCCTTCATCTGTTGATGGACATTTGGGTCATCTCTACCTTTTAGTTACTGCAAACAGTGCTGCTGTGAATATTTGTATACAAATATTTTTGAACATCTGTTTTCAGTTCTTGGTACATTCCTAGGAATGAAATTGCTGGATCATAGTAAATCTATGTTTAACTTTTCGAGGAACTGATAACTCTTTTCCATAGCTAACTGCTGCACCATCTCTCATTCCCACCAGCAATGTATGAGAGTTCAGATTTCTCCACATCCTCGCCAACTCATGTTTACCATTTTTTAAAATTATAGCTGTCTTGAGGCTTCCCTGGTGGTGCAGTGGTTGAGAGTCTGCCTGCCGATGCAGGGGACACGGGTTCGTGCCCCGATCCAGGAAGATCCCACGTGCCGCAGAGTGGCTGGGCCCGTGAGCCATGGCCGCTGAGCCTGCGCGTCCGGAGCCTGTGCTCCGCGACGGGAGAGGCCACAGCAGTGAGAGGCCCGCATACCACCAAAAAAAATAAAAAAATAAAAAATAAAAATTATAGCTGTCTTAGTGGGTGTGAAGTGGTATCTCATTGTGGTTTTAATTTGCATTTCCCTAATGACTAATGCATCTTTTCTGTGCTTGCTGGCATTTGTATATCTTCTTTGGAGAAATGTCTATTCAAGTCTTTTGCCCATTTTTAAATTGGGTTGTTTGTCTTTTTGTTGTCGAATTGTGAGTGTTCTTTATCTATTCTGGATGCTGGGCCCTGATCAGATAAGTGATTTGCACACATTTTCTCCTTTAGGTTGTCTTTTCACTTCTTGATAGTGTCCTTTAGTGCACAGAAGTTTTAAATTTTGATGAAGTTCAATTTATCCATTTTTTCTTTTGATGCTTGTGCTTTTGGTGTCATATCTAAGAATCCACTGCCAAATCTGAGGTCATGAAGATTGACTCATATTTTCTTCTAAGAATTTGATCATTTTAACTCTCTACATTAAGGTGTTTGATCCATTTTAAGTTTTGTATGTGTATTAAGTAGGGGCCCAACTTCATTCTTCTGCAGATGGATATCTGCGTGCTTTTTTATTTTGGAATAATTTTAAATTTATAGAAAATTTGCAAGGATAGTACAGAGTTCCTGTATATCCTTCACCCAGTTTCTCCTACTGTTATCATCTAACACACCAGGATTATATTTTGAACTAAGAACTTAACATTGGTACAGTACTAATAAGTATATTACAGACTTATTGGGATTTCTTCAGTGTTTTCATTAGTGTCTTTTTACTGTTCCAGGATGCAATCCAGGATACCACATTGCTTTTAGTGTGATACTTTTTGACTACCTGCAACTAAATTTAACTCTGTTTCCTTAGGTTAGAGCTAGAAAGCCATTCTGACAACAGTACTAAGATCCCCTTTGCACTTCTGGGGGCCTGAGCTAGTATTGAATCAGAAATTAGACTGATGGGGTAAAAGTGGATTTTATGGGTGGCGATGGCACAAGGGGAAGAAAAGGTATTTACTTGGAGGTGCTGAACGGTTGTTGACCAAATCATGTGAAGAAGATGGCAAAGTGAGAGGTGGAAGATAGAAATGCTATAGCTCACGAGGTGCCAACCCATTGATCTTGACTTCTTACTTTCCATCTAGGTTCAATGTACAAAACCTGAGTGTAGGAAATGGAGGCAACTTACCAAGGAAATCCAGCTGACTCCACAGATAGCAAAGACGTACCGATGTGGTATGAAACCAAATACTGCTGTTAAGGTATGATCTCTGTTGGTTTTCCTTTTGAATTAATTGATGTGTTAGTTTAGTTGTCAGTAAACAATAATGGTGTATATTTTTCAATAACTCCGTTGATCATTGTATCAGGATTATATTGTCCTACGTATAACAGAATCTCAACTACAATGGCGTAACCAATTAAGGCTTTTATTTTTCTCTCATTATAAGCAGTTTAGAAACAGGCAGTCCAGAGTTGGTGTAGGTATCCAGGGAAGTCTCCTTTTAGTTTCCAGTTCTGTCACAAGATCATTACTGCACTGTCAGCCATCATTCCAACTTCAAAGCAGAAAAGATGGGAAAGGCTGGGGTATTCCAAGCCAAGTCTCTCCCTCTTTTATTGGGAAACCAGGAGCTTTCCTGGAAGTTCCAGCAGTAGATTTCTATTTATAGCTCATTGGCCAGAATAGTATCATGCAGCTACTCTGAACAGCAGTAGGGACCAAGGAAGAAAATATTTTATAACTGTTGCGTGTTTTATATTTTATAAAATATTTTATAACTGGAAGAAAATATTTTATAACAGAATCAAAATTAGGATCCTGTTAGTAAGGCGAAAAAGATATATATGTTTAGACTGTTAGCAGTCTTCCATAGTTGGTATAGTGTGCCTCTTTTGAGATTTGATAATTACTTCGCGTTTAAAAATGTGTTAATTGCTTAAATGTGTTAAAGCATTCATCTACAAAATGTCTCTAGTTCCATCAGTACATTAAAGAATATTAGGAATCATTATAATGTCAGAAGCGAGAGGCTTTCTTTTTTGAAAATTTTGATTTAATTCACATAGCATAAAATTCACCCTTTTAAAGTATGTAATTCAGTGGTTTGCTGTATATTCAGAAAGATATGCGGTTATCACGAGCAAAATATTTTCTTTTTAAAGAAATGATGAAAAGCTCTATAAAGTTTATGATCAAGTTTTTAAAAGCCTGGGATTTAAGATACAAATGTTATTAAAGTGACTCATAATTATTGTAAATATATTTGGAAGATTTTGCAAAGTGAAATGGTGAGAAAAAAGGGTATGAACATTTAGGAGTTCTGTGTTTTATTGTTTTAAATTTTACACAATTATTACATGAATATAATCTCGGCTTTAAAAAAAGTGAATTGAATATATGTATGTATATGTAAATATATACACACACATATAATATACAAATAAAAAATGAAAGTGCCCCTTAACCATCTCTTCCTTCCCACCCTAATAGATAACCATTCTTAACGACTCATTTATCCTGCTAGAACTTTTTTTGTGATTTGATTAGGTATTTACGGTAGGCACTTTTTTTTTTGGCTGTGCCATGTGGCAGGTGGGATCTTAGTTCCCCCACCAGGGATCGAACCCGTGCCCCCTGCATTGGAGGCACGGAGCCCTAACCACTGGACCGCCAGGGTAGGCACATTTTTTTAAGGGCACTTGATACAAATATCTAAAACTTTTTAAAGGTTTAAAGAACTATAGCTCAGGGTGATCATTTTATCAAAACCTTACCTACACTGAGTGGTGATATTTTTAATAGATGTAAAATTACGTCTTGTTTTTAAAATTGAGGTATAATTACATATTGTAATTACATGCACAGATCTTAATTGAATTTCATTGAGTTTTGGATAATGTCCACACTATGTAGCCAGTACCCCAGTCAAGATACACGATGTTTCCACCACCCTAAAAAATTCCAGTCATTTCCTTCCCTCCCTCCAGAGGCAAACACTATTTAGACTGCCATACCCTAAACAGAGTTTTGCCTGCTCCTGAACTTTGTAAAATGGAATCAGTCAGTATATACTCTTTAGCATTTGGTTTTTTTCACGGAGTAAAACAGCTTTTGAGATTCATCCATGTTCTTGCATGGATCAGTAGTTTTTTCCTTTTTATTGCTGAGCAGTGTTCCACTGTATGGATGTATCACAATTTGTTTATTCTCCTGTTGAAGGGCATTTGTGTTGTTTAAAATTTTTTGCTGTTATGAATAAATCTGTATGAACATTCTGTGCGTTTTTGTGGACTTATGTTTTCATTTCTGAAGGGTAAATACATAGGAAATTGCTGAGTCATATGGTAAATTTATGTGTAAGAAACTACCAAATGGTTTTCCACAGTTGTACCAGACTACAACATTTGGTGGTGGTACTTTTTTTGTTTTTTAATGTTAGCCGTTCTAATGGGTATGCATTGTTTTATCATTGTGGTTTTAAAATGCATTTCCCTGATGACTAGTGATGTGGAACATCTTTTCATGTGCTTATTGGCCATTCATAGTTCCTCTTTGGAGAAATATCTGTCCAAGTCTCCTAAAAATTGGGTTTGTCTTGTCTTGTAGGGGTTCTTTATGTAATCTGGAAATGAGATATGTTATCTTGAATATTTTTCCCTGTCTTTGTCTTGCCTTTTCATTTTCTTAATAGATCCTTTGATGAGCAGTTTTTAAATTTTGCAGCCTAATGTATCCATGGTTTTTTTTATGCTTAGAACTTTTTGTATTTTTTCTGCAAAATCATTGCAACTCTCAACTTGCACAGACAGTCTCCTATGTTTTCTTTGAGGAGGTTTATTATTTTAGCCTTTATGTTTAGGATACTAATCTATCTCAAGTTAATTTTTGGTTTTGATGTAAGATATGGGTCAACATTCAAATTTTTTTCATGTAAGTATCTAGTTGTCCAAAAGACAGTTTTTTTCCCATTGAATTATTTTGGCAACATTATAAAAAAGTCAGCTGGCCATACCTGTAGCCAATTTCTGGACTCTATTCCATTGATCTCTTTGTTTATCCTTAACCCAGTACCCTGTTGTCTTGATTATTGTATCTTTATAGTAAGTCAGGTAGTATAAATTCCTCCAACTTTTTTTTTCCCAAGATTGTTTAGGCTATTTTAGGTCCTTACATTTCTATAAAAATTTTGTTATCAACTTGTCAGTATTTACAAAAACTTTTGGGATTTTGATTGGAATGCATTGAAGCTATAAATTATTTGAAGGAGAATTGACATCTTTATATTTTTTTGTCTTCTAATCCAGGGGTCAGCAAACTATGGCTCATGGGTCAGATCTGGCCCCCTCCACCTGTTTTTTTTTTTTTTTTTTTTTTTGCGGTACGTGGGCCTCTCACCGTTGCGGCCTCTCCCGTTGCGGAGCACAGGCTCCGGACGCGCAGGCCCAGCGACCATGGCTCACGGGCCCAGCCGCTCCGCAGCATGTGGGATCCTCCCGGACCGGGGCACGAACCCGTGTCCCCCACATCGGCAGGCGGACTCTCAACCGCTGCGCCACCGTGGAAGCCCCCTCCACCTGTTTTTGTAAATAAAGTTTTATTGGAACACAGCCATGCTTATTCATCATGTATTGTGTATGACTGCGTTCATGCTACGATGGCAGAGTAGTTGCAACAGAGACCATGTGATCCGCAGAAACTAAAATATCTACCATCTGGCCTTTTAAAGAAAAGGCTTCCCCAAATGTATGGGCACAAAGTGGGGGACAAGGGGACGGTGGTGGTGGTAGGATGAGTTGGGAGATTGGGATTGACATATATACACTAATATGTATAAAATAGGTAGCTAATAAGAACCTGCTGTATAAAAAAATAAAATTCAAAAAAATAAATAAATAAAAGGTTTCCCGACCCCTGTTTTGACCTATGGGTGTGGTCTGTCTCTCCATCTTTTCAGGGTCTTTAATTTCTCCCAACAGTGTTTTCTAGTTTTCACCGAGAATGTATTCTGTTAAATTTATTTCTAGATACTTATTTTTTCTGTGATTGTAAGTAGAATTTATTTTTAACTTTTCAAGTTGTTGCAATTATATAGATATACAGTTTAATTTTGCATATTGACTTTATACCCAGAGACTTTGTTGACTTCACTTTAAATTCCATTTATATTTTTGTAGATTTTTTTGTTGGGAGGAATTCTACAATATCAACTGTGAATAAAGACTGTTTTGCTTTTTAAAAAAACTATCCTTTTGCTCATTTTTTTTCCTTACCTTATTGCATTGGTCAGGACCACCAGTACAGAGCTGAATAGAAGTGGAAGAGCAGACTTCCTTGCCTTGTTCCTGACCTTAGGAGTGATGTGTTCAGTGTTTTATCATCATGTGTAATGTTGGCTGTGGCTTTTCACAAATGCCCTTTTTCAGATTGAGGAAGTTCTTTGTATTCCTAGTTTGCTGAGAACATTTTATTATGAAAGGATGTTAGATTTTGTCAAATACTTTTTCTGTATCTCTTATGATGATCATACAGTTTTTCTTCCTTAATCTGTTAATGTGGTGAATTACACTGATTCTTGAATGTTGAAGCAACCTTGCATTCCTGGGGGAAAAAATTCCACTTGTTCTCAATGTATTATCCTTTCATTGTATTGTTGGATTCAGTTTCCTAATATTTTGTTAAGGATTTTGTATCTGTGTTCATGAGGTTTAGTCTCTGTCATTTTTTTTTCTTGTAATGTTCTTGTCAGGTTCTGCTGTCAGTTACACTGGCTTCATAAAATGAAATGAGAAGTATGTCTTCCTTCTCTATTACTGAAAAGTTTGTGGATGGTTTAATATTATTTCTTATTTCATGTTTGGTACAATTCACTAGTGAAGCCATTTGGGCCAATTTTCTTTGTGAGAAGTTTTGAAATTACAAATTCAGTTTCTATAACAGATACATAGCTACTTAGGTGGTTTATTCTATCCATTTTAGAACATGGTGTTTTTCAAGAAATTTGTCTGTTTCATCTACATTGTCAAGTTTGTTAGCTTAAAGCTGTTTGCAGTGTTCTCTTAATTCTCCTTTTAATGCCACTGGTATTTATGGTGGAATCCATTTATTGTTGATATTGGTGATTTGGGAGTGAAGAGTGGAAAGCGTTGATCTTTCAGGGTCAGGGGTCAGGGTCCCGGAATTAACAAATCCTGTTCTAAAACCTTTCAGTTTAGCCCTAAATTGATTCTTGAGGTCGATCTCCAGAGTAGAAGACCTCTCTGAGGGATAGAAGAGAAAAAAATGGGAGGGGGCTTACCCCAAGGGAATGGGTAATTGATTTTCCAGACTGAGTGGGTACACCAAAGGAAACTGGGGTTTGAGTGATGAAGGGACCGTGAGCTTGTGAGGTGAAGGGGAGCGTGTCCAGCTGGCGGGAACAATATGGTTGCACTGAACTCAACCAGCACCTGTGCTCCAGATTACTTGTCAAGGGAAAAGTAGACTCCGTGGCATGTTATTATAACGTTTGAAGAAGAGTTCAGCCAAGGAGCAGTCAAAAATAGCAGACTGTTTTCATAGATATTAGCCTTTGGGTCATTTTCACTCAACCTGTTTCTGCGAAGTTTCTGAACAGTTCTAAAAATATATATATTGGAATATTTGCATACTAATGTTACCTTACTAAATATTAGGTGTGATTTTTATATTAAAAGTTCACATTAAAATCATTTTGTACTGTGCTTTGACTAGCTTTGGTTTAATCACTGTTTAGAGTTATCCATAATCTCTCCTCTTTTTCACTTGCAGATAATTGAATCTAACTTTGACCTCATCTCTACTAATTGTTCAGATTATCCATGTTGCTTTTTTTGATTACTTGATTTTTCTTCAGGTGTGTCATTTACAATTTCTTCAATTTATGTAGTTGTTTTTTTTTTTTTTTTTTTTTTTTTTTTGTGGTACACGGGCCTCTCACCATTGTGGCCTCTCCCGTTGCGGAGCACAGGCTCCGGATGCGCAGGCTCAGTGGCCGTGGCTCATGGGCCCAGCCTCTCCACGGCATGTGGGATCCTCCCCGACCGGGGCACGAACCCGTGTCCCCTGCATCAGCAGGCGGACTCTCAACCACTGCGCCACCAGGGAAGCCCCTATGTAGTTTTTGAAAAGCTTGTTTTCTTTAGAATGAGTTTGTTTTCAGACAAATGATATTTGTTTATCATTGAAAAATTCAAGCAATATAGAAAAAATGATTAAAAAAATTCATGCAGTCATCATCATGAAATAACCATTATTAAATGAGATTCATTCAGGAGAATTCATGCATGTATACAAGGAGAAGGCCTGGCAGATAGATAACTTCATATTAAGGAGGAGTGCTGTATATGCTTGTTTTATGTAAAATGATTCAGTTCAATACAACATAATTTAAAGTAAGTAAAAGAAGCCAAAGTGAAATAAGAAATTGCTGGACATAGGACAGTTATTTCTTGATCTCAAGAAATAGTAGTTTCTAAAAACTCCCTAAAAGGTTAAGAAAATACATGATGAGGATAAGTTGGAATCGCTCTAGCTTTTTAACAAAATTGCATGTTTCAATTTTAGGTTGTATCAGTTGACACCCTGCTAAGACAGAGGGAAAAGTAAATGACACCATACTTGCAGCCCACCTCCCCTTTTTCTCTCACCCATTTTTGTTAGGGTTTTGCTGTTTTGTGTTAGTTTAGTTTGCTCTGTTGGAATATCACTTTTTTTCTATGACCATACCCCCTTCATTGTTTACACTTGCACTTATATGCAATTACTGCTGCCCACAATTTCTGTTACTACAGTTCCTTCTATCCCATTATTTTGATTCATCACCTGCTTGGATGTATTTTAACATCAAGTACTTTTTTCCAGGAGAGCTCTGAGGTGTCAGAGTCCTTGTTTTTGAAAAACTTAAATGCGTTTCTCTTCTTCCATCCATCTTCAAGTTGAAGGCTTTATGATCTTCTTAGATCCCAGCCTCTAAGGATGGTATCACATCTTTTAAATCTCCCCCCCCACCCCCGCCCAAGAAATCCTCCTTTGAGACTCTCCTGCTCCATTGCGATTGATTACCACCCATAGCCTGAACTTTTGAAATATTTATTTAGAGGGTGTTTACTGACCCAGAATCCTTTTGGTTTTCAGTTTGGTCTTCTGTCAGGGACAAAGTCTGGAAAGGTTTATTTGTAGAACAACATTAAAAAGAATTGTAGCAAACAACACACACTGTTTTGGAGCTTGCTTTTTGTCATTTAATATTTCTTAAAGATGCTTCTTAAAGATCTTTACGTATGCTTCAGTATGTAAAGATCTCTTTCTCTTTAAAGACTGTGTAGTAAATAGTCCACTGAATGGATATGTCATGATGAATTTGATGTGACTGAAGGGCATTAGGTGACATTTAAACATTTACCGTTAGTGAGAGTGCTGTAATGAATAGCTTTGTATCTGTGCTATTTTTCAGTGTATTTGTAGTATCAGTTCCTAGAAATAAAATTGCTGTGTCAGAGTATATCCAGTTTTTTGTTTGTTTTTTAAAATATTATTTATTTATTTTTGGCATTGGGTCTTAGTTGTGGCACGCGGGATCTTTCATTGCAGCATGCGGGCTCTTCTTTGTGGCGTACGGGCTTCTTGGGCTTCTCTCTAGTTGTGGTGTGTGGGCTCCAGAGCGCGTGGGCTCTGTAGTTGTGGTGTGTGGGCTTGGTAGTTGCCCCGCACAGGCTCAGCTGCCCCGCGGCATGTGGGATCTTGGTTCCCCGACTAGGGATCGAACCCGTGTCCCCTGCATTGGAAGGTGGATTCTTAACCACTGGACCACCAGGGAAGTCCCTATCCAGTTGTTTTTAATATGAAATAATTCTTAGACCCCAAAGAGTATTTATAACTTGTGTGTGAGGAATAAAGGATGAAGGTGAATCACTGTGTGCCCCCCAACCTGGTTTTAGAAACAGCGTTACCAGTGCCTCTGCAACTTCCTGGGTTCCCCCCAGTAGTTTTCTTCCTCTGCCTCTCCTACAAGAGCAAACAGTATTTCGAATTTTGTATTTATTTTTCCTCTGCTTTTTGTTACAGAGTTGATAAATATGTATGAAACTCTAAATAACATGTAAAGTTTTGCATATTTTTATATTGGTTGTAAATTGTGTCCTATTGTGTGTATTCCTCTGCAGCTTTGTTCTCTTACTTAACGTTGAGGTTTTTCAGCTGCATCCATGTTGATGCCGGCAGGTCTGGTTCATTCATTTTCCCTGCTGTGTAGTTTTGCATTGTGTGAATCTACCCCAACATGTCTGTTCTCCTGTTCATAGGTGTGAGGGTTGTTTCTGGTTTGGGGCTGCTACACACAGCGCTCTGTGAGCGTTCTTACAAGTCTCTCCTAGTGCATGCACACATGCAAGAGTTTCTCTGGAATATATTTCAAGGGCCAGATTTCCCAGGCCGTATGGTATGCCAGTCTTCAGTTTATTTAGGTAACTTTTTTTTCATTGAAATATAACATACAAACAGAAAATGCACAAGTCAAAATGCATAGCTCAGTGAATTTTCAGAGTCCCCATTTAGCCAGCTCCCAGTAAAGAAACTGAACACTTACCAACCCCTCAGAAGCCCCCTTGCACCCCTTTTCACTCACAGAGTCCATCCCTTGCCTCCCCAGAGTAACTACCTACTGACTCTTCCCCCCCATGCAAGTACTAACCAGGCCCACCTCCGCTTAGCTTCTGAGACCAGAGAGACTAGGCACATCCAGGGTGGTATGGCGGTGGATCTCTACTTACCCCTCTGACTTAACAGCAATATGGCTGTTTTGCTTGCTTTTGAACTTCATGTAAATGGAGTCAGACAGTATGTATGCTCTTGGGTCTGGCTTCTTTCACTCACCATTATGTTTGTGAGGGGCATCCATGTTGTAACATGTAGCTGTAGTTTATTCTCTTGACTATAATACAGTTTATTTCTCCATTCTACTCTCGATGGACTTCTGGGTTGTGTTTATCTTCTCTCTCTTACAAACAGTGCTCCTTTGGACATTTTCTAATCCTTCTCTTGGTGCACATGGATGAGGGTCTCTCTAGAAAATACAGGTGTGCCCTGTTTTATTGTGCTTTGCTTTTTTGCGCTTCACAGATACGCATTTTTTTTTACAAATTGAAGGTTTGTGGCAACCCTGCATTGACGGTTAGCATTTTTAGCAATAAAGTATTTTTCAATTAAAGTATGTATGGTAATTTTTTTTGCTATTGCACACTTAGTAAACTATAGCATAGTGTAAACATAACTTTTATATGCACTGAGAAACCAAAAAATTCGTTTGAGTCACTTTTATTGCAGTATTTACTTTATTGCAATGGTTGGTCTGGAGCTGAACCCACAGTGTCTCTGAGGTATGTCTGTATAGCAAGGCTGGAATTGCTGGGCATATATACAAGATAATGCCAAATTATCATGCATTTAAAAGTTTCGTATTTTGTCAAAGTGTTCTCCAGAGTGGTTACATTCTTTTAGATTTCCACCCAGGACATCTTTACAAGAGAGGCTGTCTTCCCCGCACCCTCACTCATGCGGTGTTTTATCACACTTTTTTTTTTACCAGTCTAATCAGTGAAAAGGGGTATCTTATTGAAGGTAATTGACACTTAAGACTATATTTTATAATTAAACCTAATTAATGCTTGTATTTTGTATTGTTTTTGCAGCCTGAGACCTCAGATCATTGTTCCCTTCCAGAGGATCTCGTGAGTATTTCTGCATGTTCTAGACTAGAGTGCGTCACGCCTTCAATGATAAGTGCTATAAGTAAATGACAGTAACAGTTTTATGAGTATCTCTCTTTTTTTGGTTGCTGATCCAAGGGGTTTTAATCTAACAGGATAACATGATGAAAACGCTAGCAATAGTGGTTTTGTGGGTGATCCTCTCCCAACTTAAAAAAAAAAACTGAAATGTTATTGCTCTATGTTAAAAGGAAACAAAAAGGAAGAAACGGACACCTTACCTTCCTACAGGGACCAGACTTGTTATACTTGTTTTTCAAGGGCGACTTTATGACCTTCTCTCCACTTGAATCGTTCCGGGAAAAGAACAGGAGGCCCATAATTTGATGGTCTTGGCCCAGATTCAGCTGTGAGAGTGTTTTTGTGTATTCTGACCTCAGCATAACTGCTTTGTCCCATCCCTGCCCAGATGTGGAAGGGGAAGCAGCTGGCAGAGCCTCATCACATTTCATTTGTCTTAGGAAACTTTGCCACCTGAGCTGGCCAATTTTGCCACATAGCCAGATCCAATAGCTGTTTCAGAAAATGATTTTTTAAAATTCTGAGTTTCTGAGTTATTCTGCATTACAGCGATCCAAGATAGTTTGTAGTTTTTCTAGATGTCTGAAACCCAGGGACTGTGACTGATGTTTAGGCAAAGGGAGAATTGACACCTAGCATATCTATTCTGTTACATAAAGGGCTGTGTGAGATGCCCGCACGTGTGCGTGCGTGCGCACACACACATTTAAAAAAACAAAACAGTTGTACTGTCAAACATTTCCATAGTAAAGCAGTCGCCTAAATAATTTCTGGATTTAGGGTAGGCAGGATGACATTACAGAAAGAAAGGAAAAAATAACTTTAAATACACTTACAAATACCTTAAGAATATTTCCCCTAGTATTCAGACCATTTTGCGCGCAAGGAGTCTGAACTTTAGGACAGAGGCCATATTCTTGGGATATAAGAACTTTAAAAAGCTTGGAAGAGTCCCTGGATATTCATCTGCCCGTTATTTATTTTTGTCTTTGGTTAAGAAAGAGTCCGGAGCAGGTTTATAGCCATGTCACCTATACCTGCTACCCTTTTTCTATTCATATGGATTCTGGGGTTACCTTTAAAGCAGTTTCTAAATTTTGAGTGCCTGTATTAGTTTCCTAGGGCTGCTGGGACAAATTGCCACCACCTGGGGGGCTTAAAGCAACAGAAGGTTATTGTCTCATAGTTCCAGAGGCTATAAGTCTGAAATTAGGGTGTTAGCAGGGCCGTGTTCCCACTGAAGTCTCTAGGGGAGGATTCTTCCCTGCCTTTTCCAGCTCGGCATTGCCAGCAGTCCCTGGCATTCCTTGGCTTATAGCCACGTCACTCCAATCTCTTGTCCCATCTTCACATGACCTTTTTCCTCTTGTGTGTCTCCCGGTTCCTGTGTCTCTTCTCTTCTTAAAAGGACACATTACAGTGAATTTAGGGTTCACTCTACTACAATGTGACAAATTACATCTGCAAAGACCTTGTTTCCAAATAAGGTCACATTCTGAGGTTCTGGGTAGACGTGAATTTGGGGAGACAACTTTTTAACCGAGTGTAGTGGGCATTTCATTAAATATGCTAATAGACTGACTGTATCCAGCACAGTTTCTTCAGTGGTATGTGTATTAAAAGCGAGAGTGGAACATCTGATGGCATATCGACAAAATTATAGTCAGGTGTCCCAGAATGGTGAGTGTGCTAACACACTCGGAATAGCAAGACCACGTGTTGGTTTACTAGTCACAGAGTTTCTCCTACTCTAAGCCAGAGGCTGGTTGGTGCGCCCTCAGGTGGGCTTCCAAGGGGAAGAAAGCCTGGGGCAGGTAGCAATGGCAGGGTGTCTCTTGGGTCCTGACTTAATTTCCCAACACAGCTGCAAGGCCCAGGAAGTGAATTAGAATAGGAAGCGCTTGGATGCGTGGTTTGTTTTTGTTTTTTCCTCTCTTTTTTCTCCCTTTTTTTTGGTTGGTTTACTTTATTTTATTTTGGGGGGTTCTTGTTTTTTTAAGGCATTCTGCCCTCTACTTGGTCCATTTCGAGTGTCAGGATCTGAACACCCAGTTTTACTCTGTCTGAGCCAGGAAGGGGGTCCATAGAGGCAGCCCTGGTGTGTTGGAGAAGGAACTGAAGCTTTCCTTCTTTTTGGTCCAGCACAGGCTGCTCAAGGGTAGCCAAACCTAAAACAAGCCTTGAGGACAAAGGTTGCAAACTGAAAAGCCTTCACGGGCCGGGCAAGTAAAATAAATGTGTGTAGCAGCTGGGAGTAACTTATGGGGGGTGTTAGGGTTTGTAGTAAGCTGAAAAATGCTTGCCCCAGATTTGGACTTTGAAGGGCAAATAAAATGCATCTTGAGATCACAAACCCCTGCTTGATGGCAAGTGGCATTTGCGTGGAGCCTGGATAACTAACATCAGAGGGCCCCTGAGCCCAGAGTTCTCCTCTGTCAGATTCCTAGAATTCCTGGAGCATACATTCAAGATCATGTTCAGCAAAGGCTGCCTAACATAGGATATGTGGCAGTTTCACTTTAGAAGCCAGGTAAATTTTATTTTTATCACAATAGTTAGTCATCATGGGGCTGCTTTGATCGAATGACTCCATATGTTAAATCAGCTCTGGAATATGATCACATATTTTAAGACTGAAAATAGCTTTTTCAATTCAGTTCTACATGGAGCATTTTATTTTGATGATTGTCATGTACTTTTCCCTCTGAAGTTTTTTTAGTAGCCTCTGGCAAAAAGCAGTACTGTTTGGACTGCTACTCCAGAGAATAGTTTTTTCTGCTGAATTTTGTAATTTCAGTTATCTTTAGATCCTCAGTTAAAAGGGGGAAGGGCTGGGTGATAAATGATTACGGAACAGAAATAAGTTTCTCATGTCAGACTCAAGCAAACCTGGGCTTGCGGTATAGTCAGTGGGGGTAGCTTTAAGACTTACCTGGTGTTGGTGGGATTCTTTGAGGGAGGGAAAGGGGGAGGCCGTTGCTGAAGATCTGAAAAAACTCGGCCTAGGAAACATTCTTTCCAGGTCTCATCAGGCATTTTTTGTTTCTAAATCTTCCTGTGCAGAACTCTGGTCTAGGACTATGGAGTGGGAGAAGGCAGGGTAGAAGGGTTAAGGATGAATGAGAATGGATGACACGACGAGAACCATCTGTCCTTGGCCGACTCTGCATGTACATTTCTTGGTTGCCATTGTACCTCTTCGTTTTGCTCTGCCCCCTTGCAGAGAGTGTCGGAAGTTTCCAACCATTGGTGGTACTCCATGCTCATCCTACCTCCTTTGCTGAAAGATAGCGTGGCAGCACCCCTGCTCTCTGCCTACTACCCCGACTGCGTTGGCATGAGCCCGTCCTGCACCAGCACGCACCGCGCGGCCAGCGACGCCAGTCCTGGGAAGCTGGAGCACTCCAAGGCAGTCCCCTGTGTGCTGGGTGAGAGCTGGTCCTGGCCCTCCCCGCTTTCCCTCCTCCCTCCGCCCTTGCCCTGGAAATATGTGGGTGAGCAGAACGGAAAGGATTTTTTTTTTTAATGTGTGCAGCTTGCTACAAAGCACCTCATTATTTCATGGATCTGGTTTCACTGTGGATCACTCATATCATTTGTATATATTGGACAGTTAATTTTTCCCTCAGTCAGTGGGGAAGTCTGTAACACTTGTCCAGGAATCATGCCTACGGAGTTCAATGAGCATTTCCTTGAAAGTTGGATAGCTGCATAATTTGATGATAATACCTACTCACTCTTACATGCCAGAAGAAAGTTTTGACTCTATAAGCCACCCTTCTTTTTTCTCCCCGAGTCTTTCTGCTTCTAATTATGCCATTGCTGATCTCAGCCAAACAACCCACTCTCGGAAAAACTTCAGGTCAAGGCAGGCAGACTGATAACCATTTACTTTAAAGGGATCTTTAAAATTCTCCATCAGAATTCTTGGTGTACAAGCAAGAATTGTAGATCATCTCCTGCACGCTAACAAACTTCATCTTTGATAGTGCAAGTAGGTTTTGACATTGTAGCCCTATCTTAAGGTTTTTAACTAATAACACTGGGCCCTCTAAAAATGCAGGTGTGGTCAGAATCAAAGCTGAAGTGATAAATCCCAGTGTTAATGAAGGAGGAATACAACAGGCAACTCAGATACCATTAGTGTATACATTTATGAAGGACAATTTGGCAGCATGAATCAGAAACCTTAAAATAGATGTTCTTTGGATGTAGGAATTTATCCTAAATAAATTATCAAAGATTATCAAAAGTAAGTCCAAAGATTTGTGTGGCATTGTTTATAATAGTGAAGTAAGTGGATGAAATTTAAGTGCCCAGCAATAGGGCAGTGGTTAAATAATAAATAAGATAATATTATATGTCCATTGAAGTCATATTTAATGACATGGGACACTGTTCTTGAAAAGCAGTAGGAAAAACAGCCTTTTTATTGCATTTTTTTCTGGCTTTGTAAGAAAAAATATCACTTATATTTATATTCTCTATTCATAGAAACAGAACCAAGGTTAGACTATACTCCTAAATGTTACCACCGCTCAACGATTATCAGTAGTTAGTGATTGTTATTTACTTCTATGAACCTATTAATTTTATAATCAGAAAAATTCCAATGAAAGTTGCTTTTAAGATATATTTCCGTGGGGACTTGGCATTCAGTTGGGCTTGGAATTTTGGTCTTGCAAGATGAAGATGTTCTGGAGATCTGTTGGAAAACAATGTGAGTATACTGAACACTACTGAATGGTAACACTCAAACATGATTAAGATGGTAAATTTTATGGCACGTGTTTTTTTTAACCACAGTAAAAACTTTTTTTAAAAAGATGTGGCACATACATACAATGGAATATTACTCAGCCATAAAAAGAAACGAAATTGAGCTATTTGTAATGAGGTGGATAGACCTAGAGTCTGTCATACAGAGTAAAGTAAGTCAGAAAGAGAAAGACAGATACCGTATGCTAACATATATATGGAATTTAAGAAAAAAAATGTTATGAAGAACCTAGGGGTAAGACAGGAATAAAGACACAGACCTACTGGAGAACGGACTTGAAGATATGGGGGGGGAGAAGGGTGAGCTGTGATAGGGCGAGAGAGAGACATGGACATATATATACTAACAAACGTAAGGTAGATAGCCAGTGGGAAGCAGCCGCATGGCACAGGGATACCGGATCGGTTCTTTGTGGCGGCCTGGAGGGATGGGATAGGGAGGGTGGGAGGGAGGGAGACAAAGAGGGAAGGGATATGGGAACATATGTATATGTATAACTGATTCACTTTGTTATAAAGCAGAAACTAACACACCATTGTAAAGCAATTATACCCCAATAAAGATGTTAAAAAAAAAAAAAAATTCCAGACTTCCCTGGTCTGTGGTCCAGTGGTTAAGACTCCGTCCTTCCAATGCAGGGGACACAGGTTTGATCCCTGGTCGGGGAACTAGATCTCATATGCCGTGTGGCGTGGCCAAAAAATTAAAAAAAAAAAATTTCCATGCCACAGAAATTGAATTTTTGAAGAACGAATGGGAAAAAAAATTGTTTAATCCACGCCTATTTTGTCTAAATGGACAGAGGAAGTGGAAATATTTATGTAGGACAGACTGGGGAGCTTGTCTAGGCTCTCCTTTCTGGTGTCTTTTTGCTCTTCAGTTTAGCCAGATTTAGAATTTACAGCTTGTGAGGTTTGCCCGTTCTGTGTCTTCTCTCAGTTCCAGGCATGAACCGGTACTTCCAGCCTTTCTACCAGCCCAACGAGTGCGGCAAAGCCTTGTGCGTGAGGCCAGATGTGATGGAGCTGGATGAGCTCTATGAGTTCCCAGAGTATTCCCGAGACCCCACCATGTACCTGGCTCTGAGGAACCTCATCCTCGCCCTGTGGTACACTCACTGCAAGGTGAGTGACGGGTGTGTTAGCCAGCAGCACATGGACACAGACTTCTGTTAAGGAGAGAAGATGCTTTGACTGTGGACAGAACCTTTGGATCCGGGTGTCTCCACCTCAGGACTCTTGACATTTGGGTAGATATTCTCAGTGTCGGGGCTGTCCTCTGCATCGTAGGATGTTTAAGCAGCATCCCTGACCTCTACCCCCCACATGCCATAGCACCCCCTTCCCCCAGTTGTGACAACCAAAAATGTCTCCAGATATTGCCAAATGGGGGCAAAGTCTCCCCTTCCTGAGAATCACCACTTTAAACCATATGTCATCAGAATTCTTCACTCTCTAGTTATATGGTGCAAAATTTGGTTCAAGGAGTTCCAATGACAATACCAGGAGAAAAAAGAATAAAACATTAAAGATTGGATTATAAATCCCTCGAGGGCAGGGATTCTGACTCACCTGGTTATCCTCAAGCATCTGAGACCAGTGATTCGCTTTTTGCTGGGACTGAATAAATGTTAGGGCCCTCACACAGCGCCCACCTTGGAAGGGATGAAGATAAATTAGAGGGTGGGCAGGGTGGGACCACGAGTTTTGTTTTCTTTTTAAAGCAGAGGCTTTCTTGACGCTAGTGTTTTTCCAATTTATTAATTTCTTCTGCAATTATCTGAGTGACTGCTGAATGCAGAACATTTTACAAGACTGCCAAAGAGATCTTGGTTAAAGAAAGATATTCCAGTTCCACCCCGGTATTTCACTGGATTAGACTCCGGTCTGAGATGACTTGATTAAGTTTTGGCTTTAAATGCAGTTTATATGAATTACACCCAGGTGAGTTTATTGGGCATGGTAGAATTATTCATTTCCTCTCCAGCAGGCTTGAGGGAGGTATTCAATAAACAGTTGCTGAACTAAACAAAACTGGTCAGAATTTCCTGTAAATAAGTTGTGAAGATGCACTTTTCAGAAACAGCCTTAGGTTCATTTTTCTTCCCATTTCTTTTTAGTTGACTTTGAAATTTGACTTATACAGGAGAAGAATCTTATAAAAAAACAAATCCTCCACTTATCAGTGTGGATCTATTTTAATTTGTAATAAGATAGCAAGTATTGTATCTATTTAATACTCTAGTGGGAAAACTCAAATATGGTTGCTTTAAAGGGGTCAGACTTTGAAATGATTTTTTAAATCTTTATTTATCTATTTTATTTTTATGGCTGCGTCAGGTCTTAGTTGTGGCATGCGGGATCTTTCATCGTGATTTTTTTTCTTTAACATCATGAATACAAACACGTGTTTTAATCTTCTGCAGCAATCCAAGCCAATGTTGTACATGTTATTTCTTTCACATTTTGAGTATATAGTCATCTTCCTGTGTTCAGGTTCTGTTGGAGCCGGGGCTTGGGGACAAGTAGAGGAAAGGCCGGGGTGGGCCCTCTCCCCACTCCGCCACCGCTCGCATGGCCCAAGCCTGTTCTAACTTCGTGACACTGGGCAGAGGCCACATTACTCTTGAATCTTTGAAACAGACAAGGTCTTGCCAAAGCTGCTGGGGTGAAAAGAGAAAGGCAGTGTCTTTTTTTTTTTTTTAACAAGTTCCTAAGTCCATTCCCCCCATGTCTTATCAGTGATGAGTGTCCAGCTTTTTCTGCTGCCAGTGCAAGCAGCATCCTGGGTTTCTGTAATGGCCTTTGTTGTGTGACTTATTGAGTCAGGAATATATTTGTGGTATGGTCTGCCTCCACACTCCCGGGTCAGTCATTCGGGTCAGTCATTCTCTGCGAGGGGAAACTTAAGTGATAAAACGCAGATTGCTATGTGCTTCTTTTGTCCCTTTCTCCTTTTTTTCCTTCGCCAGGCAGACCTTCCTTTGGTCTTACTATATCTTAGTGATAAATGATGGATTCCAATTACCTGGAGAGGTTTTTTTTTTTTTTTAATTGTAGTAAAACACACACAACATAAAATTTACCATTTTTACCCTTTTAACCATTGTAAAATGGATAATTCAGTGGCATTAAATATGTATACAGTATTGTGTAACCATCACTTCTATGTAGTTCTAGAACTTTTTCATTACCCCAAGAGGAAACGCCACACCCATTAAGCAGAGACTCCCCATTCTTCCCTTCCCCCAGCTTCTGACAACTACTAGCTTACTTTCTGTCTCTAAAAGATTTGCCTGTTCTGGGTATCTCATATAAATGGAATCATACAATACGTGGCCTTCTGTAACTAGCTTCTTTGCTCAGCATAATGTTTTCAAGGTTCATTCCTGTTGTAGCATGCATCAGCACTTCATTTCTTTTTATGACCAAATGATATTCCATGTATGGATAGACCACCTTTCCTTTATCCTTTCATCCACTGATGGACACTTGGTTGTTCTGGCAATTTGAATAGTGCTGCTGTGAATTTTTTTGGAACCTATGTTTGTAGTTCTTTGCAGTAAATACATAGGAGTGGAATTGCCGGGTCATATGGTAATGCTACGTTTCACTTTCTGAGGAACCAAGAGTTGTTTTTGTTTGGTTGGTTGGTTTTAACAGTTTGGTTTTATTTCCAAACACAGGAAGCTCTTACTCCTCAGAAATGTATTCCTCACATCATCGTCCGGGGTCTCGTGCGCATCCGATGTGTTCAGGAAGTGGAGAGGATACTTTATTTTATGACGAGGAAAGGTCTCATCAACACAGGAGTTCTCACCGTCGGCACCGACCAGCATCTTCTTCCTAAAGATTACCACAACGTAGGTGACTGTAGCTCTAGCAATACTGCCACCATCAGTCATAATAAATGCTAGTACATTAATGTTCATAATACAAGTAAAGCTCCCATAAGCACTATAAAAGTTATAAGGCAAGACTTTTGTAGAATATGCATTTCTCCAAGGGAAGAGAATATCAATCACTATTCCTCTAGGCGGTAGAAAGGAGGAACGGCTGACTCAGGACAAGTACTAATGTATTCTTTAGGGAAATAACTTGTACAGACAGGACATCAAGGAAATACAGATGAACGAACGTTGCTTGGCAGCTAGTACCTTCTGTTACATTGTTTTCATTGCTCTAATTGGATTTTTGTTTCTTTTTCTTTTCTCTCTTTTTTTTTTTTTTTGGTAAAGAAATCAGTCATCATTATTGGAGCTGGTCCAGCAGGATTAGCAGCTGCTAGGCAACTGCATAACTTTGGAATTAAGGTAAGATTTGGGGGACATGGAGGCGGAAACAGATGGTTAACTGCTCCTTTGGTCCAAATGTTCTAAGACTTGGAAACTAGTTCCTGATTTTAGCAAAGAATGCTAAATACATTATATCTTTTTATCTTTACAATAGATCCTAGAAAAGATACACAATTTGAAATTGGTTTAATTGAAGAAAGGTAGAGGAAATAGAAACTCCAGCAGCTTTGGAGAGGATTTTAGACTATGATGGGCAAGACTCAAGGGACTCTAAGATGATATTAAAGCAGAAATTCTTGGGACTTCCCTGGTGGTCCGGTGGTTAAGACTCCGCGCCCCTGCTGCAGGGGGCACAGGTTCGATCCCTGGTCAGAGAACTAAGATCCTGCATGCCATGTGGTGTGGCCAAAAAATAAAATAAAAAGTGAAACTAGGGGCTTCCCTGGTGGCGCAGTGCTTGAGAGTCCGCCTGCCGATGCAGGAGACGCGGGTTCGTGCCCCGTTTCGGGAAGATCCCACATGCCGCGGAGCGGCTGGGCCCGTGAGCCATGGCCACTGAGCCTGCGCGTCCGGAGCCTGTGCTCCGCAAATGGGAGAGGCCACGACAGTGAGAGGCCCGCATAACGCAAGAAAAAAAAAAAAAAAAAGTGAAACTAAAAAAGCAGAAATTCTTGACATGTCGTTACTGACACAGCAGCGAAGAAAAAGCCCTTGTTTCTGCAATAGTTTGAGACAACAAATAGCAGCTTGGAAATTCACCATTTCCTGCATAAAAGTTAATAAACTATCCAGTTACATTTTCTTATGCAAATCACACTTTGAACCTTACTCTGGAAAACAAAAATCTTTGCTTTTGGAAGCAGGATTGAATTAGTTAATCCAGGGTTAAGATAGAATTACGTGACTTTTAAAGTACACACTGTATACTTGTGAGGTATCCTTCTTCCCCAAGGAGAATGATATTATTTCTTTTTATCTAGTATGTTGCCTTATTCTGGTTGTTGAAAATTAGCCAAAATAGAGACGATTACAAAAAAACAAAAATTGTGCAATTCAGTATCTAATTAAAATTAGCCAAAATAGAGACGATTACAAAAAAACAAAAATTGTGCAATTCAGTATCTATCTAATTAAAATTAGCCAAAATAGAGACGATTACAAAAAAACAAAAATTGTGCAGTTCAGTATCTAATTTCCATTAGATTCATTCAAATCTTCCAAATTTCTGGGACTTCCTATGTCTGACTCATTTCTCCTTTTTTAAAAACTTGTTTTGCAAGAACTTTGGTCTTCCATTAAACCAAACGTGAAAATCAATTTGGTAGAATTGAATTAGTCTTTTGCTGTATTCTCTCTGGCTGAAAGAAACAACTTCTTTTCCACAACGCTTTTCTCTGCTGGAGGAGTTTCGGCGATGAGAAAGTTTTCAATGGCTCTGCCTAAGAGGTTTTCCTTTTGGTGGAATGCAAGACCTACGTCTTGGATTCTCTATATATTGCTGACAAAACAGAAGAATCTGAGTTGAATGTATAAGAAGTGTGTTTGCATTTCAAAATATTGTCTAAGTGGTATTAAGCTATGAGGTGCTTTAATTGGTCATTTATGTATTTCAGCATTAGATATTAGGGCCAAGGTTTCTTGTTCGTTTTTCACTTGGGAAACCCACAGATGATGTTACAAGGAAGGTTAGTCCTAGCCAAAGTCTAGGAGGGGTGCTGTCTTTAATGTTCAGCCTTCCTCTTATAGACTAAAATAAACTAGAAACGGATGGTTCTGAGTTCATCTGAAGTCAGAGAAAGGTGGTGGGGAGGGGAGAATCGCAAGCTGTAGCCTTTCTCGTTAGAGAAAATGAGAAATACAGGTCCAAGGAAGAAGAATATTCAGGGGGCCTCTGCTATTCTCCCCTTTCTCTAAGGAGACCCTGGGGAGGCCACCCCTCTCCCTCGTGGTTAGGAAGTAGACTCCTCCCAACCAAACAGATGGTTATACCTCGGGGAACCTCCTGGAGCAATTTGAAGGAGTGCTTTTAGGGATCCAGAAATGAAAGGACTGGTTTTGCCCTGAAGAGGTTTCACATTTTCAGTTACTACTACCAAGGGCAGTGAAGCTCTGTGAGCCACAGGGCTGTCCACCTGAGAGCAGCTCCCACCACCACCAGCATCAGAAATTTGGAGGAGATAAAACAGTCTGGGTGTGGGACCAACCTGCTTTGGCCAAGCCTGTGAGGCCATACTTAGATATAATGACATATGATTTTTGGTTTTAATAATAGTCATAGGGAAGTTAAGGCCTGTTTACAATGCTAAAGGAATTTTGCTACAGGCACAGATATTTCATAGGACAAAACCACCTCTTTAACTTAGTTTTTAAGAGTGCCTTTTAATTTATGGAATACTATTTAATAAAAGCTTTCAATATGCATTTCGCGTGCTAGTTCATCCAGTCTTATCATTTTGGGATTTGAGAGGAAACAGTTTGAGGGGCTTCTCCAGCAGACCACTCACTCACTCCTTGCCAGAGCCTGCGTTGTTTGTTTTTAACATCTGCTTGGGCTCCTATTCACACTGCGCTCTTTTTTTTTTAATTTATTTTATTGAAGTGTAGTTGATTTACAGTGTGTTAATTTCTGCTGTACAGCAAAGTGACTCAGTTATACAGTACATATATATACATATTCTTTTCATATTCTTTTCCATTATGGTTTATCACAGGATATTGAATATAGTTCCCTGTGCTATACAGTAGGACCCTGTTGTTTATCCATTCTCTATATAATAGTTTGCATCTGCTAATCCCAAACTCCCAATTCATCCCTCCCCCTTGGCAACCACAAGTCTGTTCTCTGTGTCTGTGAGTCTGTTTCTGTTTTGTAAATAAGTTCATTTGTGTCGTATTTTAGATTCCACATATAAGTGATATCATATGGTAGTTGTCTTTCTTTCTGACTTACTTCAGTTAGTATGATCATCTCTAGGTCCATCCATGTTGCTGCAAATGGCATTATTTCATTCTTTTTTATGGCTGAGTAGTATTCCATTGTATATATGTACCACATCTTCTTTATCCGTTCGTCGTTGGACATTTAGGTTGTTTTCATATCTTGGCTATTGTGAATAGTGCTGCTATGAATATAGAGGTGCATGTATCTTTTTGAATTACAGTTTTGTCTGGATGTATGCCCAGGAACGGGATTCCTGGATCATATGCACACTGCCTTCTTTATAAAGTTGTTTCTCTAATAATATAATAATACATTAACCGGATATGAAACTCATTTAACAGTGTTACTGTACATTTATACTGCATCCTATTCAGCTTCCCTGATTGTCTTTTTAGGTGACTGTCCTGGAGGCCAAAGACAGAATTGGAGGCCGAGTGTGGGATGATAAGTCTTTCACAGGCGTCACAGTGGGACGAGGAGCCCAGATTGTCAACGGCTGTATTAACAACCCAGTAGCACTAATGTGTGAACAAGTGGGTTTCTTTAAGATTTGTATTGTAGATAAAGAAAAGAAAAAATCGTCTCAGTTTGCTTGTGTGCAGTATTAATATGCTTCTAAACAACCCCAAAATGATTTCTTGCCCCCTCATGCCCTCTGAAAAGTAAATAAGAACAAGTATAGTTATTCCTTTCTGCGAAGGTGGAACTAGAGGACTTAAAATAAAAATATCCCCCCCCCCCCCCGCCCTGCCCCAGGGTCTTTAATTGTATTTGTGCATTATTTGCAGGCCACTTGATTAGGGTTGCCAGGTTAAGCAAACAAAATTACAGAATGCCCTCTTAAATTTGACCTTCAGATAAATAACAATAATTTTTTTAGTATAAGTATGTCCCAAATATTACATGGGATATTTTACATGCAATATTTGGGACATACTTATCTTAAAAAAAAAAAAAAAGTATTCGTTGTTTATCTGAGAATCAAATCTTTCATCAGGCAAACCTACCTAGTGTCTTTGAAGACCTATGGTAGGCCCAAGGATTTTTCTGAACTATTTATTGACAGTCAATTCAATTTCAACTTCTGTGAGTGTTTGTGTGTTTGTGTGCTCTTCACATGAGATCCCATAGAGGAAATAGGATGTCAGAGCAGAGAGAGGCAGTGCACAGCTATAGCATCTGAAACATTGATAAATATTGGCTGGAAAGCTGTGGAGGGCGTGGCATAGAAGCTGTTGCTGGCACGCTTACATTCTCAGATTCCATGATGGTTTTTCACTGCCTTACTTTGCTGCCATTCCCCAATCAGCATTTGTTTTTGAGAGGTCCTAGACCCTTTTCTCCATGAGAGCTCTGTCTGATTTCAGCTTAGAACCTGTACCTGTTTTTTCCAGGGAAAACTTTTCACCTTCTTATTCTTATTATTTTGAAGCTTGGCATCAGCATGCATAAATTTGGAGAAAGATGTGACTTAATTCAGGAAGGTGGAAGAATAACTGACCCCACTATTGACAAGCGCATGGATTTTCATTTTAATGCTCTCTTGGATGTGGTCTCTGAGTGGAGGAAGGATAAGACTCAGCTCCAAGATGTCCCTTTAGGAGGTATGGGGAGAATGGTGTTCTGATTGTTCCATCTGAGTCTCATTCTAACCTAAGCTTGATTAGCAGTAGCATCATTCATCCACAAGCCTGGATGGATGCAACAAGAATAGTCCTTAGGAGCGTTCCTTTTGAACTGACTGTTCCACAGAGGGGAGCAGAACTGCCTCAGGGACCTTTAGATGCGTGTGTGTGTGTGTGTGTGTGCGCACGCACGCACACACGCACACATAAGTCTTTACACAATAGCCAGTGTTTAAAAAAATTATTTAAATGTTTAATTTTCAATTTCCCAGAAGAGCTTACTTTTAAGGAAGCATGTGGTAAGCTCTATGTGAATAACAAGCCACCACATAATGACTCTTCTAGATAAGAGTTCTTGTGTGAAAGGATTTCTTTTCTTTTTTGTACAGTAGGTTAAGATTTTTTTTCCAGTATATTTTGTTTAAGAATGCAAGACTCTGTATTATGATTTAAGAACTTTAATTCAAAGTTTTTAGGCTTTGGTACTAAGTGGACAATATTCACCCTTTAGAAAACCTGACTGTAACAGCTCATTTCCCTGCGGGCGCCCGCTGAGATCTTACTATATTGCTTCTTAAATTCATATTTATTTAACCTACAATTTCATGACCTGAATGTATTCACTTGTAATTCTTGGAACCATGTCGGAGTTTCTTACAGTTTGGGCATTTGAATTCAATTGGCAGGGTATTAATTTGCTTCAGCTATGTGTTTATGTGCAAGGGGTCTCAAGTCTCCGTCCTGGAATACACTCTGTCTCTGTTTGGGGTACATTTCTCAAGAGCAGGGACTGTCTGTCTCCTCTTTTTATCCTCTCTCCCCGCCTGCCCCACGCCGCCAACCCCCCTCGCCCCCGCGACTTCAATTCTTCGCCTCTGAGACCAACCCACATTCTAATCGCCCTTAGTAAGTGTTGACTGACAAACCGTGACAGAACATTTTTAGAAACTTACTGGGCTTGACAGGGAACATTTAACCAAATGTGGTGTCCAGACCAAGTGGTGAGTTGTTGAATTTTCTGGAAATGAAGACAGCGACTAGGCAGACTTGCATTATGTTCTCAGAATCTGATTAGTGTTTTTGCACGTGTGATAGTCGCTGGGTGGAGTTTTTCTTTATGATTCTTTCAGGGCCACCAAATACAAAAGTTAATAATATTGTTTTCTCTTGGCTTTACTTAAAACAAGTTATTAAGGGAGGATCAGCAACACTTACTGTATAAGTAGTTGTTTCATCTTATTAGTATATTTTTGGAAAAGCTTTAATAATAGTGCGCACGTCTGTCCCTGAGGTTACAGTTAGAGCCTCCTAGCCGTATCTCAGCTGTCTGAGCTCTCACCTTATTAGCATTTAGCTGAAAAGACAAAAATATACATACTAAGAAGGTAGAGTGAATTTCACAAAGCAAATATACTAAAGCTTTTAAACGTTATTTACGTAGAGATCACACTAAGGCTTCTCTCAGTCTGGTTATACTGTTCTAGCAGTCTTGGTTCTTCCCACACCTCTACAAAATCTAAAGGAAAACAGAAACTACATAGCAGGAGGCAGGAATGGGATTGCTACAAAAAGGTATTAAAAGTGGAAAAAAGCCCAGTGGTCTAGGGGCAAAAGCCTAGCACAGAGGTGCCACAGACATCCCCATACTACAGTCTAACATAAGAATGGAACATTTTAATGAGAACCTTGAGTTGTCAAAAAAAGAAAAGTTAACTGATGCTCAGTTCTGTTTCTAGTCAAGCATGTGCACAATACTTTATAGAAGCTTTGAGACTGCATTGTATCTGTTGGGTGGTTGTCACCACTGGGAAGGTTATAAAGAAGTAACCTGTGCTAAGATTCTTATAATGTGTCAGGCACAAGCCTTCCCCCACCCCCCAAAAAAAGGAATCTAAGCCAATCATTGGAACGATGTCAGGGGGCGGTATATATGTAGTTGAAAGTTCCAGGTGAATGGGATAGATAAGTGCTGGGGGTTGATAACCAAGGAGTGATTCCTGAGGCTGGTAGTGACCAGGTGATGCTGGTCTGTAAAGGATGGATGGGACCGGGGTGGGGAGGGCATTCCAGGGAGGGGCGTGGTTGTAGCAGACTTTGCAGGGTTGGCATTTACCAGGAAAAGATTGAGCAGCAGTGCAGCAGAGCCTGTGAGTAGACAGGTGGTGTTTGCTGTCTTTGGAAAGGCTAAAAATGTGCTAACACTGTCTGGCTGTGGTTTTTGGAATTTATTACATAGGCAATGGAGAACCAGTAATTAAAGGTGTTGAGCCAGAGGGTTGCACGGTGAAAGTCGATGATGGAATATTTGGAATGTTTGGGAGAGAAGATAGCCAGTGGTCAGTCTATGATAGGTCTCTTAGTTGAGGTGAGCTGTTATAAGAACTTGACTTTAAGGTGATGGCAATAGGACCAGAAAGGGAATGGGAATCCTTTCTCTGTCTTTATATGTGCAAGGGTTACTTTTCCTTTATCTTGAGCAAAAGAAGAAATAGTTTCTCAACTAAGCAGAAATGAAACATGGTTGAAGACATAGAACCTGCATAGTTTTGTTCCCCATTGAGATAAGCTTTTACTTCCTGAGAGAAACCAACCTTATCAAGACAGACGCTCTTTCCCCCTGAGTTTACCTGGGAAAGGTCTTCAGAAGTTTGGGGCCTTGCAGGTTGAAGGAGGTGGAATGCAAAAGATAAGGAATTTGAGAATAATGTTAAAGTTTTTTTTCTGCTTTGCTCCATTCCCATTGCAGAAAAGATAGAGGAGATCTACAAAGCTTTTATTAACGAGTCTGGAATCCAGTTCAGTGAGCTGGAGGAGGAAGTCCTTCAGTTCCATCTCAGTAACCTGGAGTATGCCTGTGGCAGCAACCTCCATCAGGTGGGCTTTGAAGATGCTTGTTTATGTGTATGTGTGTGTTTTATATATTGAGATATTTAGCCTGGGATGGTCTGGATAAATGGGGAACAATGGGTCTGCTGCTTAAAAGATCAAACACCAGGACTTTAGAGTACATGAAACCCACAGTGGTTTTGAAAAAAAATTTTTTTAAAGCAAGAGAAACCTGTCTTCAGATCATACCTGTGACGACACCCAGTCCGTAAACCTGAATACAGCAGGGCTGCTGGGCTGAGTCAGGGAGGCGGCAAGAGCCAGTGTCCTTGCCCTCCCCTTGCCCTCCTTGGGGGCCCTCGAGCCATTTCTGTGCAACTGCGGGCTGAAAACACTGCTCCTAAGAAACCAGAATAGAGCATCTTCGCAATTAGGATCTGTTCACCTTGCTAAAATAAATTTAAACTTGCCTAATTCATGTCACCAACTGTGATCCCGATACTTGGATATGCTATACATTGAATAGTGGTTCTGTGGATCACCCCTCACTTAATAATCCTCTTTGGTGGGGCGGGCAGGGACAACAATTCATGTTTCCATTTGGTGATTCTTTGCAATTGGAATCACACTTTTCCAAAATCATGCCGCATTTCAGTGTCTGTGGAGTTTCCGTGTTGGCATCTAGGTGGCATATTTATATATGGAGTTGATTGAATGCAGTTCTCCTCTCGTGGAATTCTCCTTATCTAGGGTTGTTGATGTATAATACACCTTCCATTTTTATCAGGGAGTGGTACCCATGCCCAAATCATGTCTACCTTTTGTTCCAAAATAAGCTTTCCTGTGCTTTACTGAGGGATCCCCTTTCCCTGGCAGCTATCCACCTGGGTTTATCTATTCACGCCCCACCCCCACCCCCCACCTTTCTGTTTTGCCCTCTGCCCTCTGGCCTGAGGTGGCCTTTCCCACCCTGGGGCTCCTGTGTTTGTCCTCAGGTGCAGGCCCCAGGGTTTGCACCACCTCTCATTTCCCAACCTCCCCTGATGTTTCCCAGGTGTCTGCTCGCTCCTGGGACCACAATGAATTCTTTGCCCAGTTCGCCGGTGACCACACCCTCCTCACTCCCGGATACTCCGTCATCTTGGAAAAACTGGCAGAGGGACTGGACATTCGGCTCAGATCTCCAGTGAGTATCCACCATGGTGGGAGGCTCTGGTTTGGTGGTGTTTGGAGAATGTGAAGTTTGGGGCATGTGGATTACACAGGAGACAGGTGCCTGCTTTGATGTTCAGCCAGTGTCTGCAAATACTTTTGATACTGTGATCAGTCACATTGTCCTTGTCGATGAGGTAGCTGCTGCTGTTTGGAAACAATAGTGGCTGAGATGCATTTTCATTAATAATCAGGGGGCTGAGTGAGAGTTCCCTGAAGCGGCAATAACTGTTGTTTAGTTCTCTGAATGCCAGGAAATGATTCCCCATAGCCCTGGAAATGTAAACTCCCATAATAAGAGAATTGGAAAGGATCCTGGATCATATGGCTCCATCCCTCATTATGTTTTTCATAACTGCTTTTCTTGAGCAGGTAAAGAGTATTGATTATTCTGGAGATGAAGTGCAAGTTACCACTACAGATGGGACAGAGTGTACAGCACAAAAGGTAAGTGCTGTGATTCCACTAGGTGCTGCCAGGGGCCTGGGAGTAAGGGAGACCAGTGTTTTCCACCAAGCAGTTTGCCTTTGGCAATCTGCCCAGAGCCTTGTTCAATTTCTGGAGAGCTCTGTATGTCTACTTGTTGTGTGTGGATATGCAAATCAGATTTAATTATTCAAACACTATATAGATTCATGGCAGATGGAATTCTGAATAGTGTTTCTCAGAGTGGGTTCTATGGTACATTAGTTCTGAGAGTTGACAAGAAAACTTGGCCAAATTAGTTTGTAAAGTATTATATACTACAGTCTAAGTTTAGGGTTAAATAAGAGCACATTAAAGGCTCTGAGAAGTCCTGCATTTTAAAAACCTGTTTTACTTTGTGTAATTCAGTGGTTTCCAAGTTGGTGATATTTTTTGTTTCTGTACCATGGAAACTTTTTAAAAATCAGATCGAGAACACTCTGCATTTTTATCTTGAAGGTGGCAGAAGTACTTTTTATATCATTTGAATTTTTTGTAAACAGCTTTAGTAGGCGGACAGTGAAAGGTGCTGTAATGTAATATATGAAATCACACTGCGATTTCTGTAGTGTTGGCAAATAAAGTGTTGGGGGTGGAGGGGGATTAATAAACCCCATAGATTTATTTAAATTTAGTTATGTCTGAAGTGATTACCAAAGAGTGTAATTGATGAACCATCATAAGTTCCCAAACTAGCTGTGTTTTATGCTTTTCAGCTAGCTAAAAAAATATTTCACAGTCCTTGATATTCATACAGAAATGAAGGATTGCATTTCAAATGGGAAAGACGGGGTAGAGTGTATGAGCCCAGGGGGATGTTTCCTCATATTATTCCTGCCATTTACTAGCTGGATAGTGAGTATTGGTCATATAGACTTTGGAGTAGCAGTAGTTCTCAATCCTGGCTGCACCTTAGAATCACCTGGGAGGTGCTTAAAAAGAAAGGTTGCCAAGCCCCACCCTGCAGAGATTCTTGCTGAATTGATCTGGTCGTGTTTTTAAAGCTTCCCAAGTGATTCCAACATGTGACCAGAGTTAAGAACCACTGGGCAACAGTGTTCTTGTCTGTGAGTCCCCAGGTGAGAATCAGGCTAATATCTAATATTCTTCCTGGTGGTAAAAAAATTTTTTTAATATCACCTTATGAAATTGGAAGTCGGCTGATGGCTCAGCCTCTGGTATTTTGTGACTTTGCTTCTTTGCATCCAGGACAACATGCTAGGTCTGCTTACCCTGCTGGGTCACCCTCTGCCTGACCCTGACCAGGCATATTTGCTTTCTTTCTTTGTATTCTGGCTCTTTAGAATAATTAGAACATAGTTTCAGGCTGTTATTCAAAGCCTGCTCTGAAATGAGGAAAGAAAATATGTTTATTTTTAGTAGTCAGCACAAATCACAAAGTTTCAATTGCAAGCTTCCCCAGCTTATAAGTGAAAGATCTCCAACCCAGCAGCATACACCGATAAACACTTAACAAACTGTAATTCAGTCTAGGCTGCTTCCACTGAGACCTAGCGTTAGTTCCTTACCAGGGTATGTTTATATCTTTTGCCTATTTGTTTACCTGAGTTTGTGTGTTTCTGAAAGCTTTTTTTTTTTTTTGTCATTAAGAAAACGTCTAGATCTTATTAAAGTCTTATATACCCAAGAGGGTTAATTGTTCCTTTTTTTCTTTTTGTTGCATGGTGGCTATTATCTATAACCACATTGAGGAGAGAGAACATGTTTTATGTTTTATAAAATTTTCACATGGCAGAAAATAGTGACAAAATCACAGGAAGAGCTCTGAACTTCCTGTGATCCTGGAGTTGGGGTTTCAATAGACTACATCTTTGATGAGGGTAGCAGTCGATATGGTCCTTGGTGTTCAGCTCCTTTCTCATCCAACTGTGTGATCCTGTACTACAGATGATGGAAGGTACACACATACACACACACACATTTCCCAGTCTCCCTTGCAGCCAAGGGTCTAAATATGAATTAGATCCAGCCAGTCAGATGCACTCGCATGAGACTTGGGAGGTGTGGTATGGCTTTTGCTTCACTTCTGCTGCCTTTGCTGCCAAGCAAAATGGTCTAGATGTTGGGTTCTTCCACAGCCGGAACATTAGAGGTCCCAGGATCCACTCATTTACTACCTGGGAGTCAAGAGCCAGGGCATGAGGTATCCCTTTTGCTGGTACAGGTTGTTTGATAAGTGACATGTTTCTGGAGCTGGTAGCCGTAGTAATGGCTCCTGATTGTGACAGTGGTAACACGGTTCTGGAGCCAGAAATTTCTTTTTCTTTTTTTTTTTTTTCTTATTATCTATTTTATACACATCAGTGTATACATGTCAATCCCAATCTCCCAATTTATCCCACCACCACCCCCACCCCACCCCCACTTTCCCCCCTTGGTGTCCATACAGTTGTTCTCTACATCTGTGTCTCAACTTCTGCCCTGCAAACCTTCATGACCTTTTTGTTTTTTTTCTTAAATTCCATATATATGTGTTAGCATACGGTATTTGTCCTTCTCTTTCTGACTTACTTCACTCTGTAGGACAGTCTCTAGGTCCATCCACGTCTCTACAAATGATCCAGTTTCGTTCCTTTTTATGGCTGAGTAATATTCCATTGTATATAGATGCCACATCTTCTTTATCCATTCATCTGTCGATGGGCATTTAGGTTGCTTCCATGACCTGGCTATTGTAAATAGTGCTGCAATGAACATTGTGGTACATGACTATTTTTGAATTATGGTTTTCTCAGGGTATATGCCCAGTAGTGGGATTGCTGGGTCATATGGTAGTTCTAGTTCTAGTTTTTTAAGGAACCTCCATACTGTTCTCCATAGTGGCTGTATCAATTTACATTCCCACCAACGGTGCAAGAGGGTTCCCTTTTCTCCACACCCTCTCCAGCATTTGTTGTTTGTAGATTTTCTGATGATGCCCATTCTAACTGGTGTGAGGTGATACCTCATTGTAATTTTGATTTGCATTTCTCTAATAATTAATGATGTTGAGCAGCTTTTCATGTGCTTCTTGGCCACCTGTATGTCTTCTTTGGAGAAATGTCTATTTAGGTCTTCTGCCCATTTTCTTTTTTTTTTTTTGCGGTACGTGGGCTTCTCACTGTTGTGGTTTCTCACCTTGCGGAGCACAGGCTCCGGACACACAGGCTCAGCGGCCACGGCTCACGGGCCCAGCCGCTCCGTGGCATGTGGGATCTTCCGGCACCGGGGCACGAACCCATGTCCCCTGCATCGGCAGGCGGACTCTCAACCACTGCGCCACCAGGGAAGCCCTGCCCATTTTCTGATTGGGCTGTCTGTTTTTTTAACATTGAGCTGCATGAGCTGTTTATATATTTTGGAGATTAATCCTTTGTCCATTAATTCGTTTGCAAATATTTTCTCCCATTTTGAGGGTTGTCTTTTCTTCTTGTTTATAGTTTCCTTTGCTGTGCAAAAGCTTTTAAGTTTCATTAGGTCCCATATGTTTATTTTTGTTTTTATTTCCATTACTCCAGGAGGTGGATCAAAAAAGATCTTGCTGTGATTTATGTCAAAGAGTGTTCTTCCTATGTTTTCCTCTGAGGGTTTTATAGTGTCCGGTCTTTAATCCATTTTGAGTTATTTTTGTATATGGTGTTAGGGAGTGTTCTAATTTCATTCTTTTACGTGTAGGTGTCCAGTTTTCCCAGCACCACTTATTGAAGAGACTGTCTTTTCTCCACTGTATATCCTTGCCTCCTTTGTCATAGATTAATTGACTATAGGTGTGTGGGTTTATCTCTGGGCTTTCTATCCTGTTCCATTCCATTCTATATTTCTGTTTTTGTGCCAGTACCATATTGTCTTGATTACTGTAGCTTTGTAGTATAGTGTGAAGTCAAGGAGTCTGATTCCTCCAGCTGTGTTTTTTTCCCTCAAGACTGCTTTGGTTATTCGGGGTCTTTTGTGTCTCCTACAAATTTTAAGATTTTTTGTTCTAGCTCTGTAATAAATGCCACTGGTAATTTGATAGGGATTGCATTGAATCTGTAGATTGCTTTGGGTAGTATAGTCATTTTCACAGTATTGATTCTTCCAATCCAAGAACGTGGTATATCTCTCCATCTGTTTGTGTCATCTTTGATTTCTTTCATCAGTGGTATAGTTTTCTGAGTATAGGTCGTTTACCACCTTAGGTAGGTTTATTCCTAGGTATTTTATTCTTGTTGTTGCAGTGGTAAATGGGAGTATTTACTTAATTTCTCTTTCAGATTTTTCATCATTAGTGTATAGGAATGCAAGAGATTTCTGTGCATTAATTTTGTATCCTGCTACTCTACCAAATTCATTGATTAGCTCTAGTAGTTTTCTGGTAGCATCTTTAGGATTCTCTATGTATAGTATCATGTCATCTGCAAACCGTGACAGTTTTACTACTTCTTGTCCAATTTGTATTCCTTTTATTTCTTTTTCTTCTCTGATTGCCATGGCTAGGACTTCCAAAACCATGTTGAATAATAGTGGTGAGAGTGGACATCCTTGTCTTGTTCCTGATCTTAGAGGAAATGCTTTCAGTTTTTCACCATTGAGAATGATGTTTGCTGTGGGTTTGTCATATATGGCCTTTATTATGTTGAGGTAGGTTTCCTCTATGCCCACTTTCTGGAGAGTTTTTATCATAAATGGGTGTTGAATTTTGTCAGAAGCTTTTTCTGCATCTGTGGAGATGATCATATGGTTTTCATTCTTCAGTTTGTTAATATCGTATATCACATTGATTGATTTGCATATACTGAAGAATCCTTGCATCCTTGGGATAAATCCCACTTGATCATGGTGTATGATCCTTTTAATGTTGTTGGATTCTGTTTGCTAGTATTTTTTTTTTTTTTTTTCTTGCGTTATGCGGGCCTCTCACTGTTGTGGCCTCTCCCATTTGCGGAGCACAGGCTCCGGACGCGCAGGCTCAGCGGCCATGGCTCACGGGCCCAGCCGCTCCGCGGCACGTGGGATCCTCCCGAAACGGGGCACGAACCCGCGTCTCCTGCATCGGCAGGCGGACCCTCAAGCACTGTGCCACCAGGGAAGCCCTGCTAGTATTTTGCTGAGGATTTTCAGTCTATATTTATCGGTGATATTGGTCTGTAATTTTCTTTTTTTGTAGCATCTTTGTCTGGTTTTGGTATCAGGGTGATGGTGGCCTCATAGAACGAGTTTGGGAGTGTTCCTTCCTCTGCAGTTGTTTGGAAAGAGTTTGAGAAGGATGGGTGTTAGCTCTTCTCAAAATGTTTGATAGAATTCACCTTTGAAGCCATCTGGTCCTGGACTTTTGTTTGTTCGAAGATTTTTAATCACAGTTTCAGTTTCAGTGCTTGTGATTGGTCTGTTCATATTTTCTGTTTCTTTCTGGTGCAGTCTTGGAAGGTTATACCTTCCTAAGAATTTGTCCATTTCTTCCAGGTTATCCATTTTATTGGCATAGAGTTGCTTGTAGTAGTCTCTTATGATGCTTTGTATTTCTGTGGTGTCCGTTGTAACGTCTCCTTTTTCATTTCTAATTTTATTGATTTGAGTCCTCTCCCTCTTTTTCTTGATGAGTCTGGCTAAAGGTTTATCAATTTTGCTTATCTTCTCAAAGAACCAGCTTTTAGTTTTATTGATCTTTGCTATTGTTTTATTCATTTCTATTTCATTTATCTCTATCTGATCTTTATGATTTCTTTCCTTCTACTAACTTTGAGTTTTGTTTGTTCTTCTTTCTCTAGTTCCTTTAGGTGTAAGGTTAGGTTGTTTATTTGAGATGTTTCTTGTTTCTTGAGGGAGGATTGTATTGCTATAAACTTCTCTCTTAGAACTGCTTTTGCTGCATCCCATAGGTTTTGGATCATCGTGTTTTCATTGTCATTTGTCTCTAGGTATTTTTTGATTTTCTCTTTGATTTCTTCAGTGATCTCTCGGTTATTTAGTAACGTATTGTTTAACCTCCATGTGTTTGTGGTTTTTACATTTTTCTCCCTGTAATTGACTTCTAATCTCATAGCGTTGGAAAAGTTGCTTGATATGATTTCAGTTTTCTTAAATTTACCGAAGCTTGATTTGTGACCCAGGATATGATCTATCCTGGAGAATGTTCCGTGTGCACTTGAGAAGAAAGTGTAATCTGCTGTTTTGGGGTGGAATGTCCTATAAATATCAATTAAATCTATCTGGTCTATTGTGTCATTTAAAACTTGTGTTTCCTGGGCTTCCCTGGTGGCGCAGTGGTTGAGAGTCCGCCTGCCGATGCAGGGGACATGCGCTTGTGCCCTGGTCCAGGAAGATCCCACATGCCACAGAGCAGCTGGGTCTGTGAGCCATGGCTGCTGAGCCTGCGCGTCCAGAGCCTGCGGGAGAGGCCACACCAGTGAGAGGCCCGCATACTGCAAAAAATAAAAATAAATAAAATAAAACTTGTGTTTCCTTATTAATTTTCTGTCTTGATGATCTGTCCATTGTTGTAAGTGAGGTGTTAAAGTCCCCCACTCTTATTGTGTTACTGTCGATTTCCTCTTTTATAGCTGTTAGCAGTTGCCTTATGTATTGAGGTGCTCCTGTGGTGGGTGCATAAATATTTACAGGTGTTATATCTCCTTCTTGGTTAGATCCCTTGATCATTATGTAGTGTCCTTCTTTGTCTCTTGTAATAGTCTTTATTTTAAAGTCTGTTTTGTCTGATACGAGAATTGTTACTCCAGTTTTCTTTTGATTTCCATTTGCATGGAATTCTTTTTCCATCCTCTCACTTTCAGTCTGTATGTGTCCCTAGGTCTGAAGTGGGTCTCTTGTAGACAGCATATATATGGTTCTTGTTTTTGTATCCATTCAGCAAACCTGTGTCTTTTGGTTGGAGCATTTAATCCATTCACATTTAAGGTAATTATCGATATGTATGTTCCTATTACCATTTTCTTAATTGTTTCAGGTTTATTTTTGTAGGTCCTTTTCTTCTCTTGTGTTTCCCACTTAGAGAAATTCCTTTAGCATTTGTTGTAGGGCTGGTTTGGTGGTGCTGAATTCTCTTAGCTTTTGCTTGTCTGTAAAGCTTTTGATTTCTCCATCGAATCTGAATGAGATCCCTGCCAGGTAGAGTAATCTTGGTTGTAGGTTCTTCCCTTTCATCACTTTAAGTATATCATGCCACTCCCTTCTGGCTTGTAGAGTTTCTGCTGAGAAATCAGCTGTTAATCTTATGGGAATTCCCTTGTATGTTATTTGTTGTTCTTCCCTTGTTGCTTTCAGTAATTTTTCTGTGTCTTTAATTTTCGTCAGTTTGATTACTATGTGTCTCAGCGTGTTTCTCCTTGGGTTTATCCTGCCTGGGACTCTCTGTGCTTCCTGGACTTGGGTGGCTATTTCCTTTCCCGTGTTAGGGAAATTTTTGACTATAATCTCTTCAAATATTTTCTCGGGTCCTTTCTCTCTCTCTTCTCCTTCTGGCACCCCTATAATGTGAATATTGTTGTGTTTAATGTTGTACCAGAGGTCTCTTAGGCTGTCTTCATTTCTTTTCATTCTTTTTCTTTATTCTGTTCTGCAGCAGTGAATTTTACCATTCTGTCTTCCAGGTCACTCATCCATTCTTCTGCCTCAGTTATTCTGCTATTGATTCCTTCTAGTGTAGTTTTCATTTCATTTATTGTATTGTTCATCTCTGTTTGTTTGTTCTTTAATTCTTCTAGGTCTTTGTTAAATATTTCTTGCATCTTCTCGATCTTTGCCTCCATTCTTTTTCCGAGGTCCTGGATCATCTTCACTGTCATTATTCTGAATTCTTTTTCTGGAAGGTTGCCTATCTCCACTTCATTTAGTTGTTTTTCTGGGGTTTTATCTTTCTCCTTCATCTGGTACATAGTCTGTCTGTCTGTGAATGTAGTTTTTGTTCCACAGTCTGTAGAATTGTAGTTCTTGCTTCTGCTGTCTGCCCTCTGGTGTATGAGGCTATCTAAGAGGCTTGTGCAAGCTTCCTGATGGGAGGGACTGGTGGTGGGTAGAGCTGGGTGTTGCTCTGGTGGGCAGAGCTCAGTAAAACTTTAATCCGCTTGTCTGCTGATGGGTGGGGCTGGGTTCCCTCCCTGTTGGTTGTTTGGCATGAGGCAACCCAACACTGGAGCCTACCTGGCTCTTTGGTGGGGCTAATGGTGGACTCTGGGAGGACTCACGCCAAGGAGTACTTCCCAGAACTTCCACTTCCAGTGTCCTTGTCCTCACGGTGAGCCACAACCACCCCCCACCTCTGCAGGAGACCCTCCAACACTAGCAGGTAGGTCTGGTTCAGTCTCCCCTGGGGTCACTGCTCCTTCCCCTGGGTCCTGATGTGCACACTGCTTTGTGTGTGCCCTCCAAGAGTGGAGTCTCTGTTTCCCCCAGTCCTGTTAGAGTCCTGCAGTCAAATCCCGCTAGCCCTCAAAGTCTGATTCTCTAGAAATTCCTCCTCCTATTGCTGGACCCCCGGGTTGGGAAGCCTGACATGGGGCTTAGAACCTTCACTCCAGTGGGTGGACTTCTGTGGTATAAGTGCTCTCCTGTTTGTGAGTCACCCACCCAGCAGTTATGGGATTTGATTTTATTGTGATTGCACCCCTCCTACCGTCTCACTGTGGCTTCTCCTCTGTCTTTGGACGTGGGGTATCTTTTTTGGTGAGTTCTAGTGTCTTCCTGTCGATGATTGTTCAGCAGATAGTTCACCAGAAATTTCTTGATTGTATGGAGAGACAGCAGCTCTCTTTGATGGTCTGGTTTTGTGAGTTGTTCTTGGAGGGTCTAAATGATTCTGTAAACTAGTTGAAAACCTGCAATAAATTGTTTCCTCCTTAAAAAAAAAAAAGCTATGTGGCTTTACATGATTATAATAATCCCTAATGTTTGTGATACGCTTTACCATTTATGAAGCATACTGATGTATATTGTTAAGAGTTTTAGTTTTAAGCATTTCCCCAATCCTTTAAAATTAGTAGGGCAGGTATTACCTTGGCCACACATTAGAAAGTGTCAGGAATGATACACAGAATCTAGTTCTCCTGACTTTGTATTTAGGCTATTTCCTCTTACAGCATTGCTTTTCAGGATTGAGATCTGCTGACTCTTCTTACCCAGGGTTATTAATGCATCAAAACCTTAATGCAGATTCCTCCATATGAATGTTGCTTCTGCTCAGCCAGTCCACTCTTGTGCAGTGAACAGCCTGCACAACTGTACATGGCTGTTATTCTTCTTACCAGTGTAACAGCATACGATGTTGATAATCTCATGACTGGCAGTAAAAGGCGGGGTGGGAGGCAGTTCTTTAGGCATTAAGATTTTCTTGGAAATGAACCCACTGAATATTAGATTCAGTTGCTGTTTGTATGTTAACTGTTCATTATTTCCCACAGGTGTTAGTCACTGTGCCCCTGGCCTTACTGCAGAAAGGTTCCCTTCAGTTTAATCCACCGTTGTCAGACAAGAAGATGAAGGCTATCAACAGCTTAGGTGCAGGCATCATTGAAAAGGTAACTGAATTACTTAAGCCTCAGAACTAGAGAGATGAGTATCAGATGACATGGGTTCCTTAACTTCTGATATTGGGAAGTAGCAGGTAATTTTTGAATCCAAATCAAATTCGAAGATTTCCTTTTCCTTTGAATAATTGTTCATGAAGAATATAAAAGGATATTAACAAAACAAAAAGAGGAGGGCTGGCTGAGGTCTGCAAGTTTTGATTTTAGGAGAAAGACTCTTGTGATTCAGAATTTGAACTGGGTATATAAATAAGCAATTCTTTTTTTTTTTCTGCTTTCCATGTCTACCCTGCACTAATTAGCCCCAGTGACGAGAGTGTTTCATACTTCCTTTGCCTTGAAAAGCTCCTTTAGCAGAATCTCTCAGCGCTACAGTAGATACCAGCAGACCTATGATTAGTAAGAATTTATCTCATGGATGTAAGGTTCAAGACCAGGTCTCAGGGATGCTCTGCATCTTCAGATTAGCCTAGAGGTTGTCAGTGGTTGCCACCATTATCTGTGGGAGTACAGGACTGCATGACATAAAAAGCCAGATGGTCACAAAGAGAACAAAGGAGGTAGGAGAATGGAAGGGGAATATTTAGAAATGTTTGAGTTTTTTGAACATCTTTTTTTTTTTAATTGAAGTATGTAAGAGCTATAGGTGGCTTCTTAGAGATTGCTGTACTTTTGATTTCAAGAAGCTGTTAACCACCTTTCTCTTGCTCGCTTTCCAGATTGCCTTGCAATTTCCCTATAGATTTTGGGACAGTAAAGTTCAAGGGGCTGACTTTTTTGGTCACGTTCCTCCTAGTGCCAGCAAGCGAGGGCTTTTTGCCGTGTTCTATGACATGGATCCCCAGGTAAAATCATTGGTGGAATGTGGTATGAATTCCCTTATTACAGTTTAGAATTTGGTTTGGTAACTACTTGTGTGTCCAGCTCAGGAACTAATGGACATTGTGGACACTCCAGATGTCTGTTTATATTCTGGGGGGACACTTGGATGGGACATTTTCCTGTAGGAAAAGAGCCCCAATATCTGCCATATTTTCTTAAAGTACTAATATTGCTCCCTGGGAAATGAATTTGTTGCCATGGAAATGTGTTATTTCAGGCTGATGGAAGGATTCCTTTTAGGGAGAATTGGTGTCAGCACAGTAACGAGTGGTACTTGAAATGTACTCTCCAAGAGTCCGCCAGGGAGCCCTGGTTAGGGGTGGGATATGACTGGCGCAGGTGAGGGCAGGTCTGGGAGTCGGTAGATGTGATTGGCGGGGCAAGGAAGATGAGGAGAGGACATACCTGGGGCTTTGCAAGTGACGGTTGTGGTGATGTCCTGCCAAAGAATCACAGTTGTTTTTCCTCCTGCCTCTTTGTTCCAAGACACTTTATCGTCAAAGTTTCCACGTGGGAGCCAAGGGCAAAATGTCCTTACTGTTTGAGAAGGTTTTTTCCCATTATTTGATCGGCAGACTTCCTTTCTCAGTGTCATTCTACTTCTTCTAAAACAAGTTCTTAGAAGGGAAAAGCCAAGAGAACCCGGAATTTGATATATTTACATGACTTCCGGAGTTTTCCCAGCAGGGAACAATAAAATGCGTAAATGAATAATGAGTATGTGTGGCCTGGGTGATGGAAAGGAGGCTACAGGACAGTAGGAAATGATGACATTTGATGTGAGAATGAGGTCCTTCTCTGTTTGGAACTGTGCGTCTAGAGACTTTGGTGCCCGAAGTCCAAAGTGTAAAGTGCTTTTCCCGTCACGTGTCCAGAAGCAGCACAGCGTGTTGATGTCGGTGATCGCGGGGGAGGCGGTGGCGGCCGTCAAGAGCCTGGAGGACAAGCAGGTGCTGCAGCAGTGCATGGCCACTCTGCGCGAGCTCTTCAAGGAGCAGGTCAGACACCCCTCTTTGAAAAGAGAAAGACTAGCCGCATAGCACAGGGAGATCAGCTCGGTGCTTTGTGACCACCTAGAGGGGTGGGATGGGGAGGTGGGAGGGAGGGAGATGCAAGAGGGAGGGGATATGGGGATATACATAGGCGTACAGCTGATTCACTTTGTTATACAGCAGAAACTAATGCAACATTGTAAAGCAATTATACTCCAATAAAGATGTTAAAAAAAAGAGAGAAAGACACGCTTGCTGCTAACTTCACTCTTCGGAGTGGTTTGAACCCAAAGCTAATCCATCAATACCAGAAATGAAGGGGCTTGAGGCAGTGGACCACATTCTTCTTATTTCTTTCAGTATCCAACTTGCCACTTAAGTACCTGGATTAGTTTGCTCAGGCTGCCATAACAAAATGCCACAAACTGGGTAGTCAAGCAACAGGAATTTATTTTCTCACAATTCTGGAGGCTAGAAGTCCAAGATCAAGGTGTCGCCAGATCAAGGGGTTGGTTTCTCCTGAGGCCTCGCTCCTTGGCTCACAGATGGCTGCCTTCCCCGTGTCCTCACATGGGCGCGGCTCTGTCTCTTCTTGTCTGTGTTCTAATCCTCTCTTAGAAGGACATCTGTCACACTGGATTAAGGTCCACCCTAATGATCCCATTTTGACTTAATTACCTCGTCGAAGGCCGCATCTCAAATACAGTCACGTTCTGCGGTACTGGGAGTTAGGGTTTCATCATCTGAATTTTGGGGGGACACAGTGCAGCCCATAACAGTACCCCATTCCTCCTTTTACATGATTGCCTTCCTCCCTTTTGTCTCACATCATGCACACCCCCATTCTTTCCTAAGGAGGTAAAAGGCTCAGCATTTTCCACAGATTCTGTATTTACCCAAACCCTAGCAAGCTTTGACGACAGTTTTCCAATCAAAGGGACATTGTCCAGAATTTTCTGTACCCCATAGCGAGTCTCTTCTCTCCCTTTTCTCCAAGAAGCTCAAGGTACTTTCTATTTGCCAGTTTACTAAATCTCACAATCTCCGGAGAGTATAAGTGGCGTGACATGTAACTTTTTCAAATAAAGGAGGAGACGTACAAAGAAATGAAAATGCCTCAAATGTTACATACATTCAAGAGAGGGGGCCCTCGGGGTATTGCTTATTTTACATGATGTGATTCTATCTCACAGTAGTTCTTATTAACTTGGGGCTTTTGTTCAAAAATTTGTTTTCAAATCAGTTATTTGGAACTTAGGCTCCGTAGAAATCTATTTCATGGTGGTACTTGGCAGAGGTCAGCCTAGAAAATTATTTGAAACGTAGAGTGAAACCTAACCTGTGTAGCTGCTTTGTGGAGAAGCCTGTTGAGAATTCCAGTTAGAGGTCCTAAGACCCTGCCCATCCCTTTCCTCCTCTGGTCCAGCGCGTTTCAGGCGATGGTAAGGGGAATGCCTGGACTCTTAGCCGTTGGTGATGGCCCCTGGTAGGTGGGAGAAAGCATCTCTGGCAGAAGGATAAAGTGTTAAAGCGAGGAGATGTGTGTGTGCTGGGGAAGGTCAGAGAGATGGGGCAGCGAAAGAGGAAAATGCACAGAGACGGCGCCTGGGGGATGGAGGGTCATGCTGAGAACTGCTGTCTCAGAATGCTACAGGGATTAACTCACTTTCTACATGGAGGAAGAACTGTAATTTTATACGTTGGGTTGCATCAAGTCTAAGTCCCTTCTTGATCCCGTTTTCCAATTCCTTCTACTTGACACAGGAAGTCCCAGATCCCACGAAGTATTTCGTCACCCGGTGGAGCACAGACCCCTGGATCCAGATGGCATATAGCTTCGTGAAGACAGGGGGCAGTGGTGAGGCCTACGACATCCTTGCTGAGGAAATACAAGGAACCATCTTTTTTGCTGGCGAGGTGTGTACGGGGACGCCGACCCCGATTGCTTCCATTTTGATCACTTGCTTTTAATTAAAGTGATCTATGTCCAGAGTTTAAAAGCAACATCATATGCCGTCAAAAGTCTTACGACAACAAGTAGCAGGTACCCTGACAGCACCCTCCTCAAACTCCTCAAGCAGCCATTTTTAACTCTTTCTCCTGTTTCTTCTGGAATTTACTTCATGCTTTAAGTTGTTGTTTTTTTTTTTTTTTGCGGTACGCGGGCCTCTCACTGTTGTGGCCTCTCCCCTTGCCGAGCACAGGCTCTGGACGCGCAGGCTCAGCGGCCATGGCTCACAGGCCCAGCCGCTCCGCCGCATGTGAGATCCTCCCAGACCGGGGCACGAACCCGTGTCTCCTGCGCCACCAGGGAAGCCCTGCTTTAAGATTTTTATACTGTTGTCTTCTGATTTAAGGAGTTAGACATTATCTCCCGACTTCCTATCAGGTTAAAGGTTTAGCCCACCCTGGTTTTTTTCACACTTTTCACCAAATTGGTGTCAGTGCTTATATGGTGTGGCTGCTTACTGCTGAGCCAGGAAGGAAGGCGGTCACTGATTCCTTTCTTACACAGCTGTTTTGTCTTCGGTCATAATGGCCTCTTTTTCCACTAGCTTAATTCTTTTTACGCCACTCCTTAAGCCTCCCCACTTTTTTTTTTTTTTTTTTTTTTGGCCGTGTTGTATGCACGACTCTTAGTTCCCAGACCAGGGATGGAACCTGTGTCCCCTGCAGTGGAAGCACAGAGTCTTAACCACTGGACCACCAGGAAATTCCAAAGCCTCCCCCTTCTTGAGTGGTCTCTAATTCACAGTTGAATCCCTCTGGCCGGCCTGTAGGTTCTGTTTCTCAAAGCCCCCTTTCCTGGCATCTTCCCTCTGCTCCAGGCTGCACTGATTGATCCCGGGGACCCCTGCAGAGCCGTCCTCCCAGCACTCCTCCTTACCACTTTCCAGGCTTAGGGTTCTTATTTCCTAGATCCCTCTCTTTTTTCTTTTTTTTCAATATTTATTTTTAAAATTGTGGCAAACAACACATAACAAAATTTACCACCTTAACTATCTTCAAGTGTCCAGTTAAGTGGCGTTAAATACATCCACACTGTTGTACAACCATTGCTACCATCCATCTCCAGGACATTTTTATACTGCAGAACCAAAACTGTGTACAACTCCCCCTCCCCCAGCTCCCAGCAAACACCATTCAACTTACTGTCTCTCTCTCTGAATTTGTTCTAGGTACCTCATCATATAAGTGGAATCATAGAGTATTTGTCCTTTTGTGACTGGCTAATTTCGCTTAGCATAATGCCCTCAAGTTTCATCCATGTTGTGGCATGTGTCAGAATATCCTTCTTTTTTAAGACTAAATAATATTCCATTATATGCACCTATCACATTTAGTTTATCTGTTCATCTGTCATGGACACCTGAGTTGCTTCTGTCTTTTTTGGCTATTGTGAATAATGCTGCTATGAACCTGGGTGTACAAATATTTCTTTGAGAACCTGCTTTCAGTTATTTTGGGTGTATCCCCAGAAGTGGAATTGCTGGATCATAAATTAATTCTGTTTTTTAGTTTTTTGAGGAACCACCACACTCTTTTCCGCAGCAGCTGCCCCACTTTACCTTCCCACCAACAGCACACAAGGGTTACAGTTTCTCCACATCCTCGGCAACACTATTTTCTGTTTTTTTATGATGGTCGTCCTAATGAGTGTGAAGTCAGCCTTTCTTCTTTCTTGATTTACTTCTGTTGAGAAATGTTTTGCTGTTCTAATTCCTAATCCTTTCTGTGCCTTTTTTTTGCATTCCTTATAATCTTGGAGCTCATGTCCTTCATACTCTAGATTTTTTTTACTCTGCTCATTTTGTTCCTACAATTTTTCTCTTATTTCTAGATCTTCTGTTTCATATATTGGAACTGTTGAATTGATTATCTAATCTTCTTTGCTGTTACTCTTTGCTGTTTTTTATATTCTAACCCTTGAGTCGATTTTTTAAACTTTGGCTCCTTTACTTTATGAGCACTTTCTTGTTCTAAGATTATTCCTTTTTGGTAGCATTTTCTTCTTGCTTCATAACTTGTTCCTTACATGGCTCCTGAGTTCCTATTTTGTTTACTTTAGCCTTTGCCTCCCATATGTCCGAATGTCCAGTCCTTGACTGTTCAGATTTGAGTGAGGCACTTCTTAAAAAGCCAACTGAAAGTTCCAGCAAGCTTGTCAACTGGAGGTTGGGGGCCCAAACATCAGGATCTATCTATAGCTCTTTTCTCTTAGTTTCTCGTTTGCATGATAGAGGCTCACCTCCTGGCATTCTGGGAACTCGAAGCCTCACTCTTAGTTATACTTAATTGCATTTTGTTTGGCACCTCACCCCTGCCCTGTACCTCAGAACTCCTGGGGGTTGCAGTAGGGGGAGTGGGGAACCTGATGAGGGACCAAATTGCTCTTCAAATTCTTTTTATTTTTTATTCGTTTTGGCCATGTTGCATCTTCGTTGCTGCGCATGGGCTTTCTCTAGTTGCATCTAGCGGGGGGCTACTCTTCATTGCAGTGCGTGGGCTTCTCATTGCCATGGCTTCTCTTCTTGTGGAGTACAGGCTTGAGAGCACAGGCTCAGTAGTTGTGGCTCAGTAGTTGTAGGCTCAGTAGTTGTGTTTCTTAGTTGCTCAGCAGCACGTGGGATCTTCCCGGACCAGGGATCACACCTATGTTGCCTGCATTGGCAGGCGGATTCTTAACCACCAGGGAAGTCCCACTCTTTATAGTCTTTTAAACCAGTCCTCAGTTTTTCACCCTTGCCAAGCCTCTGCCTCCATGATGGCAGCAATGGCTGAGATTTATAAAGGATTTTTCAGGGTGAATTGGTTTCCCTTTGCTATTTCCCACACCCCCCACACACCCACACACCCACCCAGTTTAGCAGAATAAAGTGAATTCTCAGCACTCTTTGATCTGCCTTCATACTTTGTATATTATAGTTTGGGATTATACAGGTCTTCCTGGCTCATCTAAAATAGTGTTTTTAATTTTTTCGCTTCAGGGTTTTTGAATTTTTACAAAAGAATGTAATTTTAAAAACAGCTGTCTTTGATTCCTCCTTGGCCTGTGAAGAGCCAACTTTGTAGGAACAGAACATAATGGTTGCATTCCAGGCAACAGCTGTGAACTGCTTCCAAGAGATGGCCCTGTTAGACAATGTGCCAAAGGGTCATGAACAGGGTTTGGAAGTTTTTGACTTTCCTTTGCTGCTTTGATACAGTTGTTACCTCATCTTCTTATAAAAGCCACTTCTTTGAAGTTTCTGTCACTCTGTGACTCTCTCCCCCTGTAATTGTATTCCTACTGACCTCCTGGTCATTCCCCCATTTATTAAAGTCTTTGGCACCTGGATGTTTTCCATTCCATTCATCAGTTTAGGTGACATGGAACCTAAATTAGTTCACGTGGAACTTCATCTGTTTCTTATCCTCCCTTTTCTGTGACCTACTGAACTCCCATTTCAGCTACTCTTCCCCATACCCACATCCCAGACCTTGTCTTTAATACCTAACGGTCATGAATTCAAGTCTCCTGTCCTCCTGGTTTGCTTATTCTGTTCCCACTATAACCTCCTTGAAAGTGAGGTTCTCCTGTTGACAGTCCTCACCTTTTGTCTTTTCCCTTCCTGTTGAACTGATCTATCCTTGGGAGTAACCCAACTCTTTCTGTTATACCCATCTAGCAAAACTCCAGCCGTGGATGAACCGTGATTCACTTTTTGTGCTTGTCTTACTTATCACTGATTTTAACAAACTAAGATTGTCTGATGGGAGGGGACTGTGTCTTATTATCCTTAACTCCAGCACCTGGCACACATAGACAGTATCTTAATGAATGTCACACAGTACTCCACGGGAGCACTGACTATACTGTAGGATAAATTTGGTGAAACATGGTGCTATGGATGGGTGAGTAGTGTTCATGTGAGCACACAGGAGCGACAAGTCTTTATTTTAGGAGGATCAGAGAAAGTGTAAGTTTGTATTTACCTTTTGATTTTCATCTAAATTCTTTATACATGATCTCAAATTATACAATTATTTTTTTTTTACAGGCAACAAACAGGCATTTTCCACAAACTGTTACAGGGGCATATTTGAGTGGTGTTCGAGAAGCAAGTAAGATTGCGGCATTTTAAACAGAATTTATCTGGACCCAGCTTTCTTCTCCCAATTGGGAGAGTCTGAAAAACATGTTAAACCTCACTTTGATAAAATCAAACAAAAAATCCTCTCTGGGTAGCAAAACTGAAATGTTCTAAGGTGGCATGGTAATGTAAACCCATTTTACCACTCTGAAAGCACTAGCCCCAATCCTTCTGTAAGCACTTATATTTAATGGCATTTTCCATAGGTCTGACTAGCACTAAATCTTCCGGATCTCAGAATATAACCTTACATTAAGACCTTGGATATGATCCTTCCATGGTTGGAGATTCCCTTTAAATCTGACATTTTTTTGGCTGACCAATTTTCCCACATTGAGAAACCAAGTCAATCAAGCAGGATTTAAAAAAAAAAAAAAAAAAAGCGATGTACTTTTCCTCTATGAAAATTTATCAGTATCTTTGCCAATGAGCCTTAAGATTTTTATATAGCTCCAATATTGAGCTTTTACTTAAAATTTAGATAGAAATCTTTCCTTTTTGAATATAGCACAAACTCTTCAGTCAAAGGTAAATGAAACTTCTATTTTATATTGTACCTATTTCTTCCCATTGGGTGTTCAAAAGAAATTTAAATTCAGGATCTTTTATTAAAAAAATATTTTAGATTTGTGCAGTCATTGGCAAAATAGCAAAATTTTCAATTCCTTCAACAGTACATGTTATTGTATCACTGAGAATTGGGAAGAGATAGTGTGGTCTTCATACTTTAGACATAGAATATGGCTATTTTTCTTAGTCATGTTTGGGTGGATGGCATACCTTAAATAGCCTCAATTTTGGCAACCACTAGCAGAAGGATCTTGTCAGAATAATTAAAAGCCTCTCCCCACTGCCTCTTTTTAAAATAACTGATTACATCTCTAGGAATATTTTTTATAGAATTACGTTTTCAGTATTCCATAGGCAGGTCCACTGGAAAACTGCAGAAAAATGTGTAATATCCTGGTAAATATTACACATTTTATAAGCCATATCTTAAAAGCCTGAGTACATGGTAAATATTTACTTTTTCCTTCTTTCACTCATGACAAGAAAAAATAAACATTGATTTCAGGATCTTCAGGATGCCCATCTTGCCAGGAAACTTCGGTTTACAGGTTAGAAATATTGGGTAATTTATGTGCTTTTGTTTTAAAAAGTCTTTGAATAATTCTTTCAATATATTGGTCAGCTTAAAAAAGGACTCAAAATGACTTTAAAACCATTTTCAAAATATTAGGTACTTCTAAAATTTAAAGTCAGCTTATAAGTAGAAATCGTATTTTATAGAAAGAACATACAGTGAACTTTAGACAGAGCTGAGACACACCTCCCTCCCCAGCAAAGTATTATACAACTGAAAGAAAGCAAATAGCAGTATATTGGTTTCAAGGTTAACACAGGAAAATGTTGATATTTAGGTTATCTGATGAGACTCATTGGTACTGATTGGGAAGTATTCTGCTTTCAAGTGTTTTATGTATTAAAATGTTAAAAGAATAGCATGTGTTGAGTGATAAATGCAAAATATTTTAAGTTGAAATGGTTCACAGTACATTATTACTTTAGTTTCTCGGCACTTAAACTTGTATAGTGCTATAAGCAAACAAGGGGAAAACCTACCTAAATAAAGTATGGTAAATCTTTTTAAAAACCCCTCATTTCCTGTCTCAAGTGACATCACCTAACATTTTGTTCTTTAAAGAACCACGGTACCTTTTTTTTCTTTTGTTGAGTATGTTTTTCACTGCTGTCTGAAGATTTTGTAATTGAGTAGCAGTGAATATACACAGTGTTTTAACTGCAGACTGTGAACCACTGATTGTGTAAAACTACTTAATTAAACTTGTTTTTCAAATACACTGTGCACTGTAGTGGTGAATGCACACTCTTAAGCAGATACATCTTCACCACAAACTTTCACGTACACCAAATCAATCCCCTCAACCTCTAAACCCTCTTTAGACTTTTTAGGTCATAGGCATTACTGCATATCCCTTTCAAGTAAATGGTGACGCATAACTGTTAACTTTGATCAACTTAGTTTTGTGAGAGCATTTCAAGTTTTCCCTAGTGATTTCTTTGTAATGTATTTAATTCAAAGTAAAATCGGTCAGTTACCACTGACGAGCACTCCAAATTATATAGGCTATGGGGCTAAATCCATTTAAAAATCTCTATTCTGAAATACATGTTAAAACATCAAATGCAAAGAGACAGAGGTGGTGATTTATTATTTTTATTGACAAGGTTTATAGGAACAAATTAAATATTTAAAACCAAATGCCAGTTATTAAGTCTCATTTAGTTGTTTATTCCATTAATTTGTATTAAGTATACCTTTCTCTAATGTCTTAATAACTTCATCAAGAAACAAGTCAAACCTGTGAAAACACCTGTTAACAGTCAACATATATCATTTTTATATATTTCTGTTCTATGATGCAAAGATATTTTAAACACTCAATGGTTTATCAAAGGCCTAATTCTTGTATAAGCAGCATGTTTTATTTTAAAATTAAGAGAATTTAATAAACCGATTAAGACAGTTAAAAGACAAAATTAGTCTCATTCAGGAGTGGTCCATATGTTGATCACCTAGAATCCTAATTGGCCAAAATTTAAAGCCTAACACCCCTGATTCCACAAATACATTAAGTTTCTTTAATGTTAAAAATAAGTCTATTATCACTTCTGAGAAATACTTTGTCAGATACCCACTACTGTCTACACATTATCTTAATCTGGAATTACAACTGGTACTTTCACCATAATTATAAAGGTGGCCAGGTTTCCTGTAAATATCAGCATTTTATATGGGCAAAAGCAGTTAATAAAAATCAGTTCATTTATTATAAGCAAAATGTGCTTCTACTTAATCCAACTCTGCCAAATTTTTGAAGTTTTGATGTGTTGATTTTGGTCTATCCTCACTATAAAATGTATCTACAGACACTGTTGCAGGGTTAACACTAAAACTATAAATTGATGACACTTCCAAGGCAAAGCAGAGAACTGTATGTTCCTTCAGTATTTTCTTCACTGAATTGACTTTCACTGCTCTGTCATACCATCTGGCTGAACACTGACGTTTCATAGTTTATAATAACTGTAAAGATACGTACTTATATGAGTTTAAAAATTGATCTGCACAAAAGAAATAAAAAAACTTTATATACAACAAATTCGTTTTTAAAAATACAAAAATAACATCTGTCACTCTTGTCATGCTGACAATTTGACATATATACACATGCAGGAGAAAAGTTCTGATTCAGTCATCTGGACGGCTGAAGCTTGTGTATTTTTAATATGATGAACACACTGCCACTGAGTTTTCACACTGACAAATGTGTATTCAAAATATTTCATATGCTAAATACTGCAATAGCCTCTGCATGTATAAATGCCAGTTATGATCGTTTCTGTTCTACGATTAAAAGTATGTCTTAAGCTAATATTGCGCGCACACTAAAAACTACAACAGTTCAAGAATCTATAATCTGATATAAAGAAATCCAAAATGTACAAAATACAACTATAAAAGCAAGGGACAATTACTGCCATGCAAAAATTTAAACTAAAAACTGCATAGAAATGCAATTTAAAACGGCAAACGCAAATTCACCTAACACTCAAGATAAAAAGGTCAGAAGGAAGTTCTACCAACACAATGCTTGCAAAGATTTAGAAAAAGAAATACATTCTCTTTGCTGGTATAATGGTATAAATCAGATCTTTAAATCCATGGGTACAGGTCATCTGTTTCTGTCCTCTTAAGAAATTAGCTGTAATGAAAGAGAAACGTTATTTCCTCATACCCAACATACAATAGTTGGAACACATAAAACCTAATTTTTTCTTTTTGCAGTTCGCGGGCCTCTCACCGCTGTGGCCTCTCCCTCTGCGGAGCACAGGCCCCGGACGTGCAGGCCCAGCAGCCATGGCTCACGGGCCCAGCCGCTCAGCGGCACGTGGGATCCTCCCGGACCGGGGCCGGGGCACGAACCCGTATCCCCTGCATTGGCAGGCAGACTCTCAACCACTGAGCCACCAGGGAAGCCCTCATTTTATTTTTTAACTTCTATTTTACTACTGTGACCTTGGGAAATCTGCTGGGATCAATATAAGACTACAGCTACTGTTGATCTTCTCCTGCCTTTAACTGGTGGACAGAAAGGAACATGTGCTCAAGTGGTTGTATGAACTCTGAGATGCCCAGCTACCCTTGTACACTGAACCCACATCTTCATCTGAGGCCAGGTTTTGTCACTAATGTTCAAACTTTATTTTTAAGCTCTAAAATGGGAATGAAAATAACTATCTTCCCTGGTG